CCGAGATCCGGCTCCGCCGGATCCACTATTCTGCCGTAGCACACCGCCTAGCCCCGGTCTGCATCACTGCTGCTAGGCGCCTATCCCTGTAAAGTCCTTTCCTCCTTCTTCAGCTTAGAATAGTCAATCGACGGCACCTCTTCGCTGAACAAGCCTAGGGGCCAGCCCCTTACACACTGGCTGTTTTCAAATTGTGAAAGCGCGGCCACCGTCTTATTTGAGTCTTAATGGATGTATTGAGTGTTAGTGATCAGGTAGGGCTTGTACAGGAGCCAGCGCAATTTCATAGGAGGAGACAAGGCTTTCCAGCGGGGAGTCGAAGCGTATCAGTAGAAGGAATTTCATGGCCTTGTTTCCCCACACTAGGTTTCCTTCTAGTTTGGCTCATTAGCGAATCTCTCTCGTTGTGTAGCTTGTCTTCACGTGCGAAATGTGAGCACATCGCTATCCCCGAGATTATCAACGTATTCCTTGACTACAATAGAAAAGGACTTATGACTCTCCAAATCTCTGTTAAAGCCCTTTGGCACCACCAGCATTGGACCTTGAAGATATGGCATGATTCACTTTGTTTTTATAAGTTATCAAAATAGCCAAAATTACTCTGTTCTCGATGCTGGGTGTTGGCACAATCCATATTTGATTACATATTCTTCAGACCAAATAATGCATGCATTTGACTAATAAAGGTTAACCTAATGTAGGGTTCCGTTGTAGTTTCCTCTTCTAGTTTCTGTTCCATGTAGAGTACATGAACAGTATCAACCTGTTTGTAATCGACGCTACTGTGAAATTATATTGCTAAAGGAAAGCCAAAGACATGCTGACCTTATTCGCCAAAAGTAACTGCTTGTTCTCAAGTCCTGCATCGATCCGCTACAGTTGCCCTGAAGAGTGAAATGACTGCCGTGACAAACAGCTTCAAGATGATGAGGAAGTTCTGCATTTCTTGAGACTCCTACTGATGACAATTCGTGGAAGAAAGTACTGAAAAGTTTTAGGCTGAGATATATCGGTACTACGTCGGCCGCTAGGCTGACATGGTGGCAGTCATACTCATGTCCTCATCTTCGCCTCACCTTTTTTTCAAGACAGAAAAGCCCAGCTAACTTCGAAGCAGGAATGAAGTTACACTTTTTAATGGAAAGCACGTGCTGATGCAAGTTCTACTCATTCTTTTTTTATTAACCGCCAACAATCGCGTGAATGACTCTTTGAATGCAAGAAACATCATGAGCGCGTTGAAAGCCCCAACTTCGTTGAGTCATGGCCACCGCAACTACAAAACCCCGACGGAGATTAGAAATTTCAAAACCAACACATGTTGGCGCCATATGTCGCACACGCCCTTTGCGCCCTTGACGTATGCTTAAAAGCCGTGACACCCTGATGGATCCGCAAACTATTAAGTAATTTTTCCTCATTAGAGACTGAATGGTTCCATTTTTACACATCCGAACATGGGGCTCTTCCGGGGCTCCACGCTCGGCCGATCTCGGGCACATCGGTCGAAATTTTGCACAATGAAGTATTTCTACGCCAGGTGACCGGTTTGCTGGGCCTATGGTGATATGGTGCTGGAGGACTAGCAGTTTCTGAGTGATCTTCTTGTCTGGTGAAAAGGGTAGTCTTCCTGGTCACGACCTAGTGCGACGTTGTGAATCGAGTCAGGGTTGACAATGTCGATAACTACGGTTGAGGTTTTCAACGCTCCAGCATCGCCTCTGGCGGAACTTTCGGCCTCATCATCAATTATATCGAGACCCAACCAGCCTGTGTTTCCCGCAGAAGATGCCCAGCATGAAGACATTTCCAAGGGCAAGACGGTGGTTGTCATCTCATCGGTGACTTGTATCACCGGAATTAGCTCCCTCTTGGCTGGCGTGGTTACCGTCTGCATCCCTGCAATGGCAAAGGATGTGAATCTTGAAGGCAACCTGCTGCTTTGGTATGAGCCTTAGCGATATCTTGCCGGTGAACCATTGCTAACACCCCGTGAAGGCCTGCCTCGGTGTACGCCCTGACCTGTGGTTGCACTCTGCTCCTGTCAGGCGCCATGGCCGATCTCTTCGGAGCTCGGCAACTCTATCTCTTGGGATGCTTCCTCCAATCGGCCTTCACCCTGGCCTGCGGCCTGGCCAAGACGGGAATCCAGCTGATCATGTTCCGGGCCTTCGCCGGCATCGCGATCTCCATGTGTCTGCCATCCGCCGTCAGTATCATCACACACGCATTCCCCTCAGGCAAGCGACGCAACATCGCGTTCGCCTCCATGGGCGGCGGCCAGCCCATCGGGTTCTCCGTCGGTCTCAGTGTCGGCGGTGTCTTCACAGACACCATCGGCTGGAGATGGGGCTTCCACATCGCGGCCATCATCAACACTGTCATCTTCCTCATCGCCCTCAAGTGGCTGCCAAGTATCGGCAAGCGCGAACCGGTGACGTGGAACCGCTTCCTGACCGAGGTGGATTGGATCGGGGCGTTCCTGGCGAGCGGCTTCCTGGCGATGGTATCCTATGTTCTTGCGTAAGTCCAGCCCTGCGACGATCGGCAAAACCCAAAGATGAGACGAGGAGACAAACTAACCCGCCCCTCCAGCGTCATGACCGAGAGCCTGAGTGACATCAAGAAGCCGGCCAACATTGCTCTCTTGATCGTCTCGGGTGTCTTGATCGGCAGCTTCATCGGATGGGTCGAGCGGCAAGAGCGCCTCGGCCGCCCAGCCATCATCCCGAACTCTCTTTGGAAGAACCGCAGCTTCACCAGCATCTGCGTCAGCGTCTTCATGGTCTGGGGCGCCTTCAACGCGACAGAGCAGCTGAGTTCCTTCTACCTGCAGTATGTGCAGCGGCTCTCGGCGATCGACACCTCGGTCCGCTTCCTCCCGGCCCCGGTGGGCGGCGTGCTCGCCAACGTCGTCGCCGGGCTCGTGGTGCACCGCGTCCGGGCCGACCTCGCGATCCTCATCGCCGTGGCCCTCGCGGCGCTGTCCCCGATCCTGATGGCCGTTGCGGACCCGGCGTGGAACTACTGGTACTGCATCTTCTGGGCCATGTTCATGAACGCCATCGGCGCGGACACGCTCTTCACTATCTCGAACCTGCTGATCACCTCGCTGTTCCCGTCGAGGACGCAGGGTGTTGCGGGCGGTGTGTACAACACCATCGCCCAGATCGGCAAAAGCGTGGGGTTGGCGTCGTCGGGCGCGATTGCGAGTGCCGTGACGGCCAAGTCAGGTGTGGCGGATAAGGAGAGCCCAACGGCGCTGCTGGAGGGCTATCGGGCATCGTTCTGGTACTGCTTCGCGCTCTACGGCGCAACCCTGCTTGTGACCATTTGGGGACTCAGAAAGATCGGCAAAGTGGGTGTCAAGAAGGAATGAGAGGGTTGCGGACGGGAACCCGGAGTAATGGGTCGAAGGACACCTCTATTCTCTCTCAACATCGCCCAATTCAGGGGATTGCGGCCGAAATGGCCAAATTTTCAGTGACGCAGTGCAAACTCTACTCTACTCGGTGTGCGGAGTTGATGCTTGCCAAGACGACGGTGTGAATGCTTACCAAAATTCTGAGAGCAAAACACGTCAACGGGCTGTTCTGGAATCACGTCCTAAGAAAGCTTGGGAGTCGGGCCGGGGCCAACCCAGCAGATCTTTCTCAGAGTCCGGCGTGTCGGTGCGGGGAGGATCCGCGTGCTGCTGGCGGCGAAAGCGGTCGAAGGTGGACGGACTGACTCAGCGGCCTAAGTTTCCACCAGCCGGTCGCATGCCTTCGAGAGCCCGAAAGTGTGGAAAGGGACACTGACGGGATGGGGCTGGAGATAAGGGGGGGGGGAATAGATCTAGAATTATGAACCGTCTCATGAACTGCACGTGGAAACACACAGTGATACTGAAGAATTGTTTCCGCTAGCTAGCTGTTAGTCTCGTAAATATGGATCTGGCCGTTCAACATTATGCGTCGTGCTAGAGCTGCGGATTGGCGTCATTGTGAGAGATCGGACTCTCGATAGTGATCCCGGAGCCCGACATGTTGAACTCCGACTTTACTGACTAAAGCCAGCCTGCGAAAAGGGGGGAAAGAGAGGAGCCCTTTCAGTGGGAAATTGTATTCGTACATGGTGATCTGGCTTGTTTACATATCGCAACCCCTATCTCCCCCAAAGTCCGACGGATCCACTGCAAAAAAAACCAGTCAAATCCGCAGTCGGGGAGATTCAATTGTTGGTAAGCCTCATAACATCGGTGCGTATTTGACAGCCGCAGCAACAGCAGCAGCCCTGCCGAGAACGCGAATCTCCCGAAAGAGGGTCCGCCAGCGGAAAGTGGAAATCACTGCAACTCAAGATTTACGAGCAGTGCAGGGCAGAGAGATATACGGACTTACGGACCAAAGAGAGAAAAGGGGAACAATCCACTGAACCAGTCATTTTTACGAGTGCCGTGGGCTAGTGCCCAATGGGGGGGGCACCATGATGCAATCGGAACATGGTTAACACAGTTCAGGACACCTCGGCCGAATTCCAGCAGATCGCACCGCCGCAACAGGCCTAGCCAACGACCCTGACTCGTCTCTGGGGCCGCGGCGCGGCTCCTGCGTGGCTTACGGTAAGCACCTCTCGGGGCCTTGGAGCTCCCCGACGACGGGTTGCGGACTCGAGCTGTGCCTTCAACACCCCGCCCGGACCGTAATCCATGGTGCTGGGAACGCGGGAGCGGCCAGCCTACAGACCGTGCCACAGGAGAAGACGGGACCACCCACGCATACAGATGCACACACACATCAGACGGGCTGACATATCCAGCCCTTCCCGCAAATGGAACAGTTTCGGGGTGGTGAGAAGGGTCGTCGGGCGGGAACTACAGGGGCATGACCTCATTGCCACTTCACCGGGGCCGGCGGTCGGGCGGGTGCTCTGCGAACTCCGCACACACACAACACAGCTTGAGTCGATTGTTGACTCGGCCGCGTACCAGCAACAAACTTCAGCGCTGGGGGAAAGATGGGCTGGGCTTGGCGGGCTTGCGGCGCCTTGTTCGGTGGCCCCGGTGTTGGTTCATGTCCGCAAACGCACACTTCTCTCGTGTCTGCCTTTTTTGATATAATAACACAGTCATCCCATTCATGCTATCGTCCTTGTTGCTTCCCCAGATCTCATCAACAACTATCGAGTGTAACCGTCTGTGAACGTTTCAACTTACACGATACATCGACATCAAACACACAGATCACCAATCACACTGTTCAAAGATTAAATACTACTTAATAATATCAAGCTCACTTGAGCTTAGCCATTGGCAACACACCCCCAACCATGGCACAACAACGAACCGACACACGAGACTCAACAGGCTCCTCTATCACAATGAACGGCAGAGCCTCATCAGAACAATGGGAGGCCGGCTTCGCCCCCATCAACACCGGCAAGAACAATGGCGACTCATCAGACGACAACGCCACCCTGTCCAGCCCTATGAGAGATACCCACCGCGACACCATGATGATTGAGGAGGAGGACAGGAGAGAGCTTCAGAGAATCGCAACCACCTTGTCACGGCGCCAGAGCGGCGTCAGCTTCGGCGAGCCGCAACTCTCCAACATCGCAACCAACGATCCCTCCCTCGACCCCACTAGCAAGTCCTTCGACCTCTCAAAATGGCTGCAGAGAATCATGCAGCAGATGTCCAACGAGGGCATCAGCATCAAGAAGGCCGGTGTCGCCTACAAGGATCTCAACGTCTCCGGAACAGGCGCTGCCCTGCAGCTCCAGCAGACCGTTGGCTCCTTTCTCGCGGCGCCCCTGAGGATCGGCGAGCACTTGAGCTTCGGCAAGAAGGAGCCCAAGAGGATCCTCCACAACTTCGATGGTCTCCTCAACAGCGGCGAGCTTCTGATTGTTCTGGGCCGTCCCGGATCCGGATGCAGTACCCTTCTCAAGACCATGACTGGTGAGCTTCACGGCCTGAGCTTGGGACACGACTCTGTCATCCACTACAACGGTATCCCTCAGAAGAGGATGGTGAAGGAGTTCAAGGGCGAGACTGTCTACAACCAAGAGGTTCGTAACTTCATCGGCCATCTCATTTGTGACATCTAGCTAACACATCTTTCACAGGTTGACAAGCACTTCCCTCATCTCACGGTCGGCCAAACCCTCGAGTTCGCCGCCGCCGTCCGCACACCCTCCAAGAGACTCCAGGGTATGACCCGCGATGAGATGTCCAAGAAGGCCGCCCAGATCGTCATGGCCGTCTGCGGTCTTAGCCACACCTACAACACCAAGGTCGGCAACGACTTCGTCCGCGGCGTCTCTGGCGGCGAGCGCAAGCGTGTCAGTATCGCCGAGATGATGCTCGCCGGATCCCCTATGTGCGCGTGGGACAACAGCACCCGCGGCCTGGACTCCGCGACTGCCCTGAAGTTCGTCCAGGCTCTGCGCCTCGCGTCCGACTTCACCGGCAGCGCCAACGCCGTCGCCATCTACCAGGCCTCCCAGGCCATCTACGACCTCTTCGACAAGGCCGTCGTCCTCTACGAGGGTCGCCAGATCTACTTCGGCCCTGCCAGCGCCGCCAAAGCGTACTTCGAGCGCATGGGATGGGAGTGCCCTCAGCGCCAGACCACCGGTGACTTCCTCACTTCCGTCACCAACCCCCAGGAGCGCCGTGCCCGCCCGGGCATGGAGAATCAGGTCCCTCGCACGCCGGAGGACTTTGAGATGTACTGGCGTCAGTCCCCCGAGTACGCCGCCCTCCGCCAGGAGATTGAGCTGCACCAGGAGGCCTACCCTATGGACTCCAACAGCCAGGCTCTCACCGAGATGCGGCAGATGAAGAACGAGAGGCAGGCGAAGCACGTCCGCCCCAAGTCCCCCTACACCATCTCCATGGCGATGCAGGTTGGCCTGACCACCAAGCGCGCCTACCAAAGAATATGGAACGACATGTCGGCAACAGCAACGTCAGCAGTCATCAATCTCATGATGGCTCTCATCATCGGCTCGGTCTTCTACGGTACACCTGACTCTACTTCCGGTTTCTACGCCAAGGGCTCTGTTCTCTTCCAGGCTATCCTCATGAACGCTCTCACTGCCATCTCCGAGATCAACAGTCTCTACGATCAACGTCCAATCGTCGAAAAGCACGCCTCCTACGCCTTCTATCATCCTGCCGCTGAAGCCATTGCTGGAATCACCGCAGACATCCCGATCAAGTTCATCACGGCAACAACCTTCAACCTCGTGCTCTACTTCCTCGCCGGACTGCGACGCGAGCCTGGCCAGTTCTTCCTGTACTTCCTGATCACCTACATCTCCACCTTCGTCATGAGCGCCGTCTTCAGAACAATGGCCGCCATTACCAAGACCGTGTCGCAGGCTATGATGCTTGCTGGTGTCCTGGTCCTAGCTCTTGTCATCTACACTGGCTTCGTCGTTCGCGTTCCCCAGATGGTCGACTGGTTTGGCTGGATTCGATGGATCAACCCCATCTTCTACGCCTTCGAGATCCTCATCGCCAACGAGTTCCACGGTCGCGAGTTCACCTGCTCGGAAATCATCCCCTCGTACACCCCGCTCAACGGCGACTCCTGGATCTGCTCTGCTGTCGGCGCCATCGCTGGCCAGCGCACTGTTAGTGGCGACGCGTTCATCAACACCAACTACCAGTACTACTACTCCCACGTCTGGAGGAACTTCGGCATCCTGCTCGCTTTCCTGTTCTTCTTCATGATCATCTACTTCGTCGCCACTGAGCTCAACTCCGCCACCACCAGCTCCGCCGAGGTCCTCGTCTTCCAGCGCGGCCACGTTCCCGCCTACCTCCAGGACGGCGTGAACCGCAGTGTTTCCAACGAGGAGATGGCCGTCCCGGTCAAGAGCAAGAACAGCGAGCCCGATGCCAACGTCAGCTCCATCCCGCCCCAGAAGGACATCTTCACCTGGAGGGACGTTGTCTACGACATCGAGATCAAGGGAGAGCCCCGTCGGTTGCTTGATCACGTCGACGGCTGGGTCAAGCCCGGAACTCTCACCGCTCTCATGGGTGTCAGTGGTGCCGGCAAGACTACTCTTCTCGATGTCCTCGCTCAGCGCACTACTATGGGTGTCATCACTGGTGACATGTTCGTCAACGGCAAGCCTCTCGACGCCAGCTTCCAGCGCAAGACTGGCTACGTTCAGCAGCAGGGTAAGCAGCATCTTCCTCACTCTCACTCACGCATGATTGCTAACATCTCCCAGACCTCCACTTGGCTACCGCAACCGTTCGCGAGAGTCTGCGCTTCAGCGCCATGCTCCGCCAGCCCAAGACCGTCAGCAAGGAGGAGAAGTACGCCTTCGTCGAGGAGGTCATCGACATGCTCAACATGCGCGACTTCGCCGACGCCGTCGTCGGTGTCCCCGGTGAAGGCCTCAACGTCGAGCAGCGCAAGCTCCTCACCATCGGCGTCGAACTCGCAGCCAAGCCCAAGCTTCTTCTGTTCCTCGATGAGCCTACCAGTGGTCTCGACTCCCAGAGCTCCTGGGCTATCTGCGCCTTCCTCCGCAAGCTTGCCGACGCCGGCCAAGCCGTCCTCTGCACCGTCCACCAGCCTAGCGCTATCCTCTTCCAGCAATTCGACCGTCTCCTCTTCCTTGCCCGTGGTGGCAAGACTGTGTACTTTGGCGATATCGGCGACAACTCGCGCACTCTTCTGAACTACTTCGAGTCTCATGGTGCTCGCAAGTGTGACGATGATGAGAACCCTGCCGAGTACATGCTTGAGATTGTCAACAACGGCACCAACTCGCGCGGAGAGGATTGGCACAGCGTCTGGAAGTCCAGCGAAGAGCGCACTGGTGTCTCTGCCGAGCTCGAGCGCATCCACCTCGAGAAGGCCAACGAGCAGGTCGCCGGCACCGAGGAGGCCGGCGCCCATTCCGAGTTCGCCATGCCCTTCACCACCCAGCTCACCGAGGTCACCGTCCGCGTGTTCCAGCAATACTGGCGCATGCCCAACTACGTCTTCGCCAAGTTCGTCCTCGGCATCGCCGCCGGCCTCTTCGTCGGCTTCTCCTTCTACAAGGCCAACGGCACCATGGCCGGCATGCAGAACGTCGTCTTCGCCGTCTTCATGATTATCACCATCTTCTCCACCATCGTCCAGCAGATCCAGCCTCACTTCGTCACTCAGCGCTCCCTCTACGAGGTCCGCGAGCGCCCTAGCAAGGCCTACTCCTGGAAGGCCTTCATGTTCGCCAACATCATCGTCGAGATCCCCTACCAGATCGTCACCGGCATCCTCATCTTCGCCTGCTTCTACTACCCGGTCATCGGTATCCAGAGCTCCGTCCGCCAGGTCACCGTCCTGCTCTTCGCCATCCAGCTCCTCGTCTACGCCTCCTCCTTCGCGCACATGACCATCGCCGCCTTCCCCGATGCCCTCACCGCTTCCGGCGTCGTCACCCTCCTCGTCCTCATGAGCCTGACCTTCTGCGGTGTCCTGCAGTCCCCGACCGCCCTGCCCGGCTTCTGGATCTTCATGTACCGCGTCTCCCCCTTCACCTACTGGGTCGCCGGTATCGTCTCCACCCAGCTGCATGGCCGCCCCGTCACCTGCTCCGCGGACGAGACCTCCGTCTTCAACCCGCCCGCCAACCAGACCTGCGGCGAGTACCTCGCCGACTACCTCAAGATGGCGCCCGGCCAGCTGCAGAACCCCGACGCCACCGAGTCGTGCCGGTACTGCTCGCTCAGCAACGCCGACCAGTACCTCTCCGGCAGCAACATCTTCTACGACGAGCGCTGGCGCAACTTTGGCATCATGTGGGCCTTCATTTTCTTCAACATCTTCGTCGCTGTTGTGTCGTACTACCTTGTCCGCGTCAAGAAGTGGAACTCTGGCTCGTCCAAGACGAAGAAGGAGTCCAAGGGAAAGGGTCCCGCCACTCAATGAGTGCGACCCTGGAATGAATACAGATCAATGAGGACATAGGTTGTCCAGATATAAACTCTAATAGTCTTTTACAAATTCATGTAGCGAGCGTTGCTTTTTAAGGAGGTATCCCATCATTAGTGTAGAATAAACAAGACTTTCAATCATACGCTTTCTTCATTCGTGTGTCCTACATTTATGCTATATAATGGTAACTCTTTCATTGCGCCAATTTGGAAAGAATCCTGGCGAAAGGAAGCTCGGCAATGATTCCTTGCCCAACTTGAGAACCACCAGCCCAACTCTTTCAAACACACTCGGTTGACAGACCGACCTCCCGAGAACCAGCACGTAAGCATACTTGTCTTCGCGCCCAAAGTATCCTGTGGTCAAAAGAAAGCACCAGACAGGATATTCAACCGCTTCTTGTCGATAGTGCGCACTGGAAAGTGTGCCTCGGACAGCAGTGTTGACAGCCTCGCCATTCAGCTCGACATCGGCAGTCCCTAGAAACGAGTCTGCGAAGAACTCCCCAGCAGGCCATTCAGTCAAAAAATAGTGTCGGCCCTCCTGCGACGGCGGTGGATTGTGGAGATATTTTGCCGTGGCCTTGATCAGAAGACCATCTAGAATGACGTATCCGCTTTCCACGGACCCGAAGGGATTGATCTCAGAGGCCGGAGTGCATTCTATTTCGACAACTTGGCACGGCTCCGTGTGTCTCAATGATTCAACGAAGGAGGATTTCCACCAGGAAACGGTACCGTCGATGGAAGCCCAACTCCATGACGGCGCACCAAGGCATCCCCTCGACTCTTCTAACCGAGATCTGTTCCAGCTTAGATCATGAACTAGTTCTTTTCTCCACAATCCTGCGAGGAAGTCGTCCACCCGCTCTTGGAAGACTCGGGAGATCGCTGACAAAGCGACCAGCTTGTCCGCTTGGAAGGTAAGCTTACGCCCTGAATAGGGTGTGACGACCGATTTCCTCCATTGACGATGGAAATAATGGGCATCTTGCGTCGACATTTCGTCTCCTTTGGCATGTATTCCCACCGAATCCCTAAACCTCCAGCTGTTGTCCCCTTTTATACCCACCTGGGATTTCCTGAGGTCGAATTCGTCGCATTCGCAGTCTTCAAGTGAGCGACAAGCCCACTGGAGCTCGAACTCGCCGAATGAAACGAAGCGCTTAGCAAGAGCCCTCTCTTGGAAAGCCCATCCGCGCTCTGACAATGGACCATCAAAGTTTGCGGAGAACAGCGCCTTCCTGTGGTTCAACACCGGTCGATAGTGGATTTTGCTGAATTTGCGCGGGCTCGCTGAGCAGGGGACCGTCACGCTGCACCCGGAGTAATGGCGGCGGCCCAGGAAGCCCTTTGTACCGTCAGACGCAGACGATGCGCCCAGAACCAGATAGGCGAAGCCGTAGACGTCAGCCATCCTGGCGGCTTCGTACTCCCAATCCAGAACGTCGTCTTGCACGATGCAGAGAGAGTCGATCCAGATGTATCGCATGCCAAGATATCGTGTCACGGCGACGGCATCTTTGAAGGTTTGCGGCATGCTGCTGAGGTCCATCCCGTCTTGATGCAGCCCAATGTTCATCTTCAAGGTTCTGAGTGGCTGAGATGGCCCCCAGCAGTGGCTCAATGCGATGTATCTTTCGTCCTTTTGCGACAGGTTTGCCGTGATGACAAGCTTTGGGGGGTTGGCGGTGACATCGAGGACCCTAGTCGGCAGAGGGTGATCTGAAGGTGAGCAATCGGCGTGTGAAGCCTGGCAATTTTCCATCCAATATTTCAAAAGAAGGAGGCATTCTTCTGAGCCAGCAGTGTCCGACATGTCACGGTCATAAGGGATACCCTCCCATGGAAACCGAGAATCTAGTTCAAGGATAAGTACAACGTGCATTTATGCCGAGTTCACTTGCAGCAAAACCGTCATGCAGAATTGCAACGTACCGGGAAAGTTGTAAAAGAAGATTGTCTCCCGTTCAGCTGGAGGCGTGTTCATGTCTGGCGTATTGGGGCCCAGGAGGAACTGTTTGCGACCGTCGCGAGCTTTGCGACTGTACACAGCAATTTTGCCTTTGTCAAGGTCTGCAAACTCTATCGCGTGCTTTGTCTTGAGCTCATCGTGCAGAGCGACGATGAGATGACAGAAGTTGCAGTATAGGGAAGCATCGGTCCAGGTCCTTAGGCCGTGCTCACGACTTAGGTTCGAGGTACTTTCTGGCTTGAAGCCGCAGGTATCACACCCATTGGTCCTGCGGCCATAGAATGGATTCACATGGCGTCTGATGTGGTCAGGGATCTGGAAGGATGCATGTGGATTCGGCCGAGAAGACGCCATGTCGCGGTTTGTGAACGGAGCTACCGGTGGAGGAAATGGTTCCCGACTGCCGGATCACCTCTTTTCTTCTGGGTCAGCTGACCATGTTTTGCAGAATGATGTAATCCGTGGGGCTTTTTGTATCGACTGGGGGGTTGTGGCAGCCGAGTAAATGGTTCGACTTGTTGGTGCCCTGTGATTGAGCACCAACAGGACTGGGGCTTGCTAAGCTGGGGTTCTCATCGCCGAATTTCGTGAACATCAGACTATTCACTGTATACAACATCACAAGATCATATTAATATATTTGTTCGGAGTGCGATTCAAGGTCGTCAATGCCAAGCTGGGCAGACACTGTACACCAACAAAGTTAATGATGGGTTAAAATCTCAGGCTTGGTTCATGGTTTACGATGTTAGTTGAGACAGACCTCACTTGTCAGGTAACACTTATCTCACCTGCCCTGCGAGTGCTTGGTTTGCCTGATCACTTACCGCTACTCAGTCTCGCAATATCACGGTGGCATCAGAGACGAAATATTCGAACCTTCAAATCACCAGATATCACCAGCAAATTCACAGCACCACGTGAGAGGTAGCGCACGGCGCAGTCTCATTTTAGAGGTCTTCGACGCTGGACTGTCTCAAATTACATCTTTTGAACTCCGCCATCGCCATCCCGGCATAAATCGTCCCGCACGAAGCTATTCCGTAGGTTCCCACAGAGCTGTTCACGTCTATACGGCCTCGCATCTATTTGCCGCCCTTCTTGGCCTGTAATTGCATTAGTCTCAGATTCTGTTGCCTCAGGGCATGTGTAGAGACTTACGGCTTGCTTGTTCTTCTCATTCTGCTTGCGGCCGTCCTTGAACTCGCCACCAAGCTTGTTGAGGGTGGCGTTGTCCTTCTTAGGGTTGCCGGTCAGGCCCTTGGCTTGCTTAGACTCCTTTGCTTGGGCACCTTGAACCTAATAAGTTCCAATATTAGTACCGAGATCGCATGGTTTGCATTTCCGAGATATCTCACCTTCTTCAGGCCATCGTTCAGTTGCTTGTTCTTGGGGTCGGCGTTCTTCTGGTTCTGGGCACGTTGCTTCTGTCCAGCCTTGATGTCTTTTTGGAGGTTGGCCTTCTCCTTAGGGAAGTTCTTGGTTCCCTCGGCCTTCTGCACCTTCTTGACGTCCTTGGACTCATTCTTCTGGATGTTGATGTTCTTGTCGATGCCCTTGACCTCCTTGGCAGTTGACTTGGAGCTACCCTTGTTGCCGCCGCCACCCTTCTTGCCACCGTTATTGGCCCGCGCCTCAAGTGCCTCGAGAGCTTCTCCGTCTGCCTGTGCCGGTACTGGCAGGGCAGCGACGAAGGAGAAGAAGAGGAAGATGGAGAGGATGAGCTGAGTGAAACGCATTGTGAAAGGTTTTTTAAGAAGGACCGAATGGTATTAATAATAGACCAATAGGATTAGTTGATGAGGGACCAGCCGATGGATGCAAGACGTGAAGGACGTGAAAGTCTGATGTGGATAATAATCAAGGCCGAGAAGAAAGGCGATTTCCGGTTCATATATATAGAGAATCCGTTGACTGTCCCGAGATCACCATTTGCGAGTCATCATCTCTAATGGAGGAGCACATGTGCCGTTGTCCGAGGGACATCGAGCCATCTGGCCATCACCCACTGCAGGATGGCTCCGAGTCCTTCAGCCGCGATGCTTTCGAGATCGTTTCGCTCTTCCGTGATTGAAGCTCCCGGAGTGTCGCAACCCACACGGAGATTGCGCCCGCTCTCTCGTCCGAAGTCAGAAAGTATTGACAAGCGACAAGCTTTTGGGTGGAGTCGAGACGAAGAAAGTTTAGCCGCACATGTGTTTTGGGCTGAACCTAGATGCCAAGGCCGGTTTCCCTTTCTAAGCTTTCGGGACATTATTCCACTTTAGATGCCAAGATACGTGGCTCCCTCGCTCGGCCGCGATTGCGCTGTTTGACGCGAACCTGTCCGTTCATAGGGTGCAGCAAGGCAGGAGGAAACAAACTTGGCTGGATTCAAGATGGAAGCCACACTAGGTCCAAGTTGGTAATAGCTCTCTGCGAAGCGGGAAGTAAACTGAAGATGTCACGCTTCATCCCAATGACCTAGTAGACAGCAATCTGAAATCCTGCCGCCTCGCACAAACCGAGGTTTACATCCCATCAAGTAATCACGATGATCTGCGGCATGTTGTGAGAGTCAGAATCTGCTCATAGAGAAGGAGGTCACGGGGGCAGAATCACTTCATTCCGGTTACCGAGGCCGTGGCGCCACAAAGTCGCCGGTCGACTGGGACGAACTCTGCAGATCAGGGCGATCATATCAGGGCAAAAGATGCCTCTTGCATGGTCCGTCAGACCGCATTCGTAACATGAGGCCTACGTCGGGCTTCTCCAAACGAATAACAGGGCACCCTCCACATGGGCCCCCGAAAACGAGGCTCCACATCCGTACCAGGACAAAGTGAGTAGCGGATGCTCATCCGGTGTCTGGCAGACTGTAAACACGCTACTCGCGGCTCCCGCCGCCCTGCGAGGCGTGCGGCCGGCCTCCACCTTTTCTCCGCGTTGCCGCCTTCCCCGCGGCAAGGTGGAGTGCAAAAGAAAGTTTAAGCTATCGGGACTTGACATAATTCTCGCGACATAAACTCCTGACTAGTGCCGAAAGCCCTAAGCTTCTTTTTCATCGTTGTTTTAGCCATGTTGGAGGATTAAGCTTATCGCCCGCTAACTTCTTATGACGCTGCCATGCAGGAAGGAGTAATTATGCAAGGGGATTAGAGCCCGACTTTGAGTCCTTGGTGTCTTTGACCGGGGTGTCTCCTGGGTGATCTACCGATCCTCGTCTGAAGATTGTGCTCACGACAATGTTACCACATGATCTCCGTCCGTCCAAACAACACCGCCAAGAAAGGTCCGTCGCCAAGAGCTGCCAATGATGTGCCGTTCACTGCACCGTCGATCCCTCTCCGAGCGCTCGGCTCCGTTGACGAGTCAAACACTTTCCTTCGCATTATTCTCTCATCACAACCCATGACTAAAAAGCCCTTACTCGTCAATCCGATCTGGCCTATTCATTGCGCGTCAACCAGCACAGAAGCAGGTCTAGCCGTAAGTAAGGCGTACCGTCTCATCACTTGCCCCCCGTTTCAAGCGCGCGCGCGTTCAAGGTTGAGGGCCTCCCCGGCGCTAGTCGGAGCTTATTAACGAGCGTTGAGTCTCAGGATAACGGGACTGCAACTTCCCGCGCCTGTCTCATGCGCAACATTCTCAAGGCGCTCAAAGCGACGATGCGGGCAGAATTATAATTTGAGGCTTGCTGCATAGTGCGTGCAGGCGGCAGATCACCATCCCCTTTTCGGCGTGACGCGTGGTCGGAAATACGGCAAGCTGAATCCCACTTGCGCCGGGTCATCCCAACTATATGCCGGCGGCATTTAGATAAGTTCCGGATATGGCCTTAAGGGTGTGTAGAGCTTCTAAATGCTAATTTGAGGCACCTTACGCCTCGTCGACACGGTCAACCTCACGAATGTTTTGGTTTAGACTCTTCCCATCGTCCGCCTTCGCCTGTTGGCTGTGAACCTGACGATCACCTTCATATCCACTAAGTGGCAGAGTTAGCTAGTTGCACCGAGATGCACACAGTCTTCGGAGGAAGCAGATGAGAACATACAATAGTGTATCCATCTGGTCAATAGTGACACCCTTGGTCTCAGGAAGAAAGAAGAATGCCCAAATCGTGGCCGTTAGCATCCAGCAGGCAAAGAAGAACCACACGCCATAGTCGAGACTGCTGAAGATGTACGGCAACGCTTTCGTGATGATGAACTGAATGAGCCACTGCGTGAAGGCCGCGAAGGTTCCCGTAAGATTTCGAAGAGCGCCGGGGAAGATCTCAGCCGAAACGATCCAACTAAGAGGAGTTAGTATTGCAGTCACGCAATTGCATCTAGTCGCGACTTACGGAATACCGTTAAGACCAAAAGACCAACTAGGGGAGCCTGTGTTAGCTTAATTTTAATTGTTTATGCAATTTAAGGGCTGAAGTTAGGACTTAGAGACGAAATAAACTCACAAGACGGAATAAATCATAATACCCGCAGTAGCAGCTTGGCCACCAGATTTAGTGGACGACGAGAGTTCACCACCTGCAGCAATAATTGGGGCCGGGTTTCCGACCTGAAGCTGTTAGAGGCTAAAACAGGATTTCGTGATATTCCAGAAGAAGCTTACCTTTACATAAGCACCGACAAACCACAAGCAAAGTGAACACGCTAGTGAAGATATGATCGTTGGTCGACGGCGACCCCAAATGTCGATGAGAGCTCCATAGAAGATGATGGAGGCGACGGCCTTGACCAAACCATAGATTCCGGTGTACAAAGCTACGTCGGAGATACCAATAGAGCCGAAGAGTGTTGGAGAGTAGTAGTTGATAGCTGACAGTTTGTTAGAGACTGTCGATTTCGGCATGAAACGCGACGGATGTAGAGAATATCTGTGGCGAGGAATGCTTCAAACTTACCTGCGGCACCAGACATGTTCTGCAAAGTGAAGGCAACAAACACAAGCAGAAGGCGGTTCCACATGCCCTTTCGCGACAGCTCAGACAGAGAGCCGCGGATGTATGCCCAGAACCCGTTGCCATAAGCCTTCGCGACGGCCGCTTCCTCAGCAAGTCTCGCGCGGATCATTTCCACCTCTTCTTGCATGTACTGATGGTCTTCCGGAAGATGTCGGAGCGCCATGAGGACCTTTGCTCCCTCTTCCTCCCGTCCCTTTCTGTAAAGCCACAGCGGCGACTCGTGCAGGAAGAAGCCTCCGATGAGCAAGCCACCTGCAGGGATGAGCTGGACGGCCATGGGCAGGCGCCAGGACGCGGAGCTGTTCGGATTCATGTTTTGGTTGATACCGTAGTTGATCCAGAAACCAATGAGAGACCCGGTCTGGTATGTGACTTCAAACAGGCCGGTGAGGATACCACGAATTGAGGGAATGGATAGTTCGGCGATATAGGACGGCACAGTCGCGGTGATAACGCCGCAGCCCCAGCCGGTCAAAGCTCGGCCGGCGTACATTGATGCTAAATCATTCGTGGCAGCGACCATGGGAATCGCGCCCGCGAGGAAGACTAGATTGCTGATGATGAGGGCCCATTTACGGCCGACATATTCGGTGACTTTGACAGTTAGCCTGGCTTCATCGTTACGAGATAGCTACGGCTTCATACTAAAGAAACACATAAGTGCGCCGCCGAGCGCGCCAGCCTGGAAGGCCGAAGTGATGTTTGACGATATCTCTTTCGACGTAGCCGAAGTGATGCCGAAGTCTCGCACGAAACTTGCTCGCGCGATCGTTGTTCCGATGAACGCCGAGTCGTATCCAAACCTAGGCAGAAAGCATTAGTTAGGGGCCATTATCTTCCGTCTTCTCTGCTGCGGGTAACCTGAACCAAAAAGCTTAGGAACATACAGCAGGGATCCTGTCGCAATAATCGCAGACTCGATGTAGAGGCGCCAATTGTACACCTCCTTCGGCGTGGGCCGATCCTCGACCGCGCGAAAGCTGCCCATCCTGCGTTACTATTGGTGAGCCCTAAGAGGCTGGCTGGGTTGGTTGAAACGTTGCGACAAGCTTCAAAGCTGTATGCGAGTCTGTTTTAAGCTTTCGAGACCTTGACCAGCTGCATACAATCACGCGCGCATTGCAGGAAAGAAACAAAAAAGTGAGCAAAAGCAGGAGAAGGTTCCGAGGAAGACGAGGTTCATCCTCGATTTCCGCTACTTATCCCCGCAGACGATCACCCTTCCCCCCGTCCCACACTCGGTCCATGGGTGCGGGGGAAATCTGGGGAATGGCGCGCCTGCCTCGCGAGTCTGGCACTCTGGTTTTGGAGATGGCAGGGGTTTGTGTGGCCGCGCACGTCGCCCTCATTAACCCGACACCGACGAATTTCCAAGGCAGAGTTGCACCAATGGGGCCGACCTGACCCGAGAGGCAGGGAAGCTGGTGAGGAAACGGCGTGGCAATTGGAGAAGGGCCTGGCGATGGTGGGGTTGTTGGAGCTGAGTGCCGTCAGGATTGGACAGTTCGATCCCGTTCCTGGCTCGGTGGCTGGGGTCATGAGCGAGAAAATCTCGGTCGAGCGGTGAGGAGTTCAAGGTAAAGCGTTCACCCAGAATTAAGGCACGCTCAAACATTCTTGGGACGGTTGAACATGATCAGCTCAGTTTTTATATGATTGTTCCCAACTAGTTTGAAATAACTTGTTTCTTCTAACACATGTCAAGACCTCAGGTAATGACAATATCTACACCTATCACGACATGAAAGTATCAAAATTGTATGAATATCTTCACTTCATTGAAAGAGAGAAAACACAGATTGCTTGCCATGTTGTCTGATTTGAGGATGGTTTGTCAACAACCCTGCTCACCTTGAAACGCATCCCCGGTGTCCAGGTCTCCACCCCCACTTGCCTTAATACCGTCGCGGAGAAGTTCCGAACCTAATGCCAACGATTGTTCACGATGCAGGTACAGCAAGAGCACGTGGTAGTGTTGTTGGTTTTGTTTAGTCGCCGGCACGTCCTTTAATCCATCAAGGACGTTCACGCGGAGCTGATTACAATATACCCCCTGAAAGAGTGTAAGCGTGGTACTTTGCCCTAGTAAGTGTATATAACTGGTTAAGGTCTGACAGCGAATAGAGAATCTATACTAAGTAACTCAATAGAGAGCGTCGATTCTAGCGGAGCACTTTACTAGTATAGAGGGTAACAAACATTTAGGGGTCGTATTGTACGTACGAAAAGGAAACGGAACATCGTATATGTAAACAAAATCAACTCCCCCGAAGTAAAACACGCGCATCGCCAAGTCTAGTGATGTTCATTCCTCGCAGTCCACTGAACAGAATTCTTACTACGTAGTAGTGAAAATCCGAGGCTCTGGTTAAAAGCATACTGTCGCCGGAAGCGAAAGAGTCGAGTTTCATCAAGTGACAGCCAAAGCACCTAATCTTCCAGATGATGCCAAACTGCCTGAACTCCTATTCCTCCTTTCTTCTACCAACATGGACAGCTGGCACACAGAGCAGCGCAGCTCCCAAGCAGATACTCAACCCGCTAAAGAGCTGACCGCGACTATAATCATTCGTCGCAGTATCGACAAGAACACCCGCAATCGGTGCCCCAATCAACGCCGCAAACGCAACAAAACACCACATCATCCCCGTCCTAGCTCCGACAACGTTGGCATACGGCGCGAGTCTCGGTACAATAGCATTCGGCAAGGCCACAGCGATCCCGGACATGAACCCGACTGAGACGCCCCAGATGGTTATGCCCGTCACATCGCGGATGCCAATCCACCCCAGGATGAGCGCCCCGAGACTCAGACACCCGACTATCAGGACCCATACAGGCCCGATGGTGCGGACTTGCGCGATCCACGCGGGCAGGATGCGTCCGGCTAGCGAGCCGGCGTTCATGTATGCTAACAGGTAGAAGGCGAAGTCGGCGCTTGTGCCGAGGGAGAGCTGGGCGTAGGGGGCGACGATGAAGGGCGGGATCCAGTAGCCGAGCTCGACGAAGAAGAGGCCGAGGCAGAAAAAGAGGTAAGGTGTGTCTTTCAGGGCCGAGGAGTCTAGCAGCTCGCCCCCGCGCCTGCGGGGAGGATTTTGGATGGGATCTGGGCGGAGGAGGATTAGGGCGAAGAGCGAGGTGACAAGGACCAAGACTCCGAAAATGCGATTGACCCAGGGAAATCCCATGCGCGGCTCGAGATTCCGGAAGAGAATGGGGAAGAGGACCCCGCCCACGGCTGATCCGGTTGCTGCGATGCCAGTGGCGATGGGGCGCTTGGTGGTGCAGGCGTTAGAAACGATTGAGACGCCAGGTACGTAAAGTAGCCCACTTCCTAAGATTGCGTTAGCTCCATGAATAACAGGTATCAAGAATTATTGCCACTTGCCGACGCCAATGCAAACACCTTGAGAGAGAACAATGTGAAAATACTCCGCTGCCAAGCTGAGCATGAAGAAGCCAAACACGACAAGGAAGCCACCGACGGCGAGCAGACTTCTGATATATCCGCTATCGTACAGAGGACCTGCCAGAATACCGGTGAAGCCCAGTAGAAAGACTTGGGTAGTGCCGATCCATGATATCGCCGAAGGCGAGGTTGAGGCGAGTTTCTCGGTCTGATAGTACGCCTGGTAGGCCCCGTAGGTTGACGCGATGCCGTAGGTGTTCATGAAAATGAGCCAAGAGCCCCCGACTTTGAGCCAGGCTTTGCCTCCATTTGGGCAGTTGGGAAATTGGGAGACAGTGTTTGAAGCTGGTTCTTGTGTTGCGTCGGGGACTCCCTCGGTGAGGGTCCTTAGCATGATAGTTTCGGGTTCTGCGGAAGTCATGGCACACTCAATCTTCCGTGATCGTCTTGAGGGTATATCCGAGACGTCACGATAGACGTCGAACGACTCTTGGAAGTCGGACTTGCCCAAGGGATGGCGGGACGTCCCATGCTAGCCACGTGTCGCCGCAGGTGATAAGAGATCCGCTGGCACGAGCAAGCGGGGTAAGGCAGCATTCCTCCGTCATGATCTTCAGCTTGCATAGCCGAGTGCCATTGAGTGCAACTTATAGGGATGAGGCTCTCAATTCTCATCTAAGTCTGTAAAGGTAAGATCGCCCACCTCGTGGACTCCGTAAACTGCGGTCCGATGTCCATGTAGGGTGGTTTTCAGGAGTGGTTGCTAATTTGTTATGTACATCTCCCAGTGATTTGCTTCTACTTGTGATAGTGAACAATAGTTCTGAAATGACAAAGATGACATTCTGCTTCGGAAGGCATCTGGCTATGGCGGACAGGTCCATTTGGAAGGTACGACTTTACCAGTCGTGCTAGTTACTCGAAAATTGCGTTCACGCAAGCTGCTTATCCAAGGTCAAGTGAAAAATGAGCTGTTTGGCTCAGTCCACAATTCTACGAGGATGGAACACGCTCTTGGACTGCAAATATACGGAAACGCACCGGAACTTGGAATGACGATCCGGCGAAGCTTGCGGATTGTCGAGCGGAAGACTGGGCGCTCGGCCCCGGTGATGCGGGCCGCGCAAAATTGCGGGTATCGGCCCCGCTCCACCGATCGAAAACCGGGATTCCGCTTCCAACTCGCGGAAATGACCGATAGCTCGTAGTTTATAGCTTTTGGGTTTGCACACACTGCGGGCGAAGAACCCTTTGCACTTACTGAGAGTTCTGCCGTTGACGAGACCAGAGAAGAAAGAAAAATCAGAAGATTGCGGAGATGCGTTCTTCCGTCGGCAAACCCGGGGGGTTTCGCCCACTCTCCCTGTCCCGCGCGTGATTCCTCATCATTGTCGACTGCCGACAGACCGACTCCAGAACCATCCGATCGGCTTCGCATTAGCGACAAAACCTGCTGAGGCTGGCCGGCGGGACTGATGAGTAAATATAGCGAGAATTTGACAGCTCGCGATGGGCCATCAGCTCACTAGCATTCGTTCTGGAAGCATTCTTGCGTGCGCTCATGACCAACAAAACCTGACTCTGCATCCCACTATTCCCCCACACTGCCTCCGCAAACTCATTTTAATGCCTCCGCAGAACTCTATTGCCCCAGTGGAAGTCGTCCGAACGACAGCGCGAGCTTGGGCCAGAAACCACCCGATTGACTGGTACGAACGACGCAAACAAGACGCAGTAAAGAACAGGGTGCTGGCACATGTACCAAGGTCGGAATGGCATGGCGCGTGACAGCCCCCAAAATTCGCACCAGATCCAACGAGATCCATCTGGCGGCGGGGCTGGTCTGGCGATTCTTCGGCCGTTTAACCTTGCGTCCCCCCATGTGTGGTAACAGCGAGCAAAGCACCGCTGGAAATTGCAAATCCCCACGAAGTCATGCGCCCATGTTGGAGTTGGCGGTTTGGCTACGCGCCTTTTTGGTTGCCGGTCTGCTTCTTCTTGCATCGCAGCAGTGGCTGGCCAGTCAGACGACGAGCCCTGGCTGGACAGAGACTTCCGGGGAACGAAAGACGTGCAGCTATGCTTCGTGCTAGGTTGGCTTATCATGCATGCGAGAGCGCGATATGAGGCCAAGAAACAAACGCCCAGGCCAGCCCGTTTGTTTTTTTTCTTCTCCCCCAGTCCATCCGCACGAGGAGTTTCAGCGAACTATGTCCCGACCGACCCCCGCGACTCCGCATCTCCCGCAATTTCTCCCTCCTTCAACACCACCAACAGTGCCACTACCCACCGCCGCCGGGGTAGCGCGTCTCCAGTCCGGCTTGGCCGCCCCGCGATTCCCATCCCCATACCAGCGACTTCCCGACCGCGTGGTGCAGTTCCTTTCGGCCCGCAACTTCAGTCCAAGGAACGACCTTTCCCTTGGCTCGTGTGCCCATAGTAGGCAATCTTCGACTAGCCATCGTCAATTCGTCATGACCAGCTTCGCCGAGCCGCAGTAGCCCGGGATCATGACTCCGTATCCTTGCGTCTAACGGCGGAGACTCAATCTTGGCTCCGGCCCTGGCTGACGTCGTATCGACGGCCTGCCTGACAGCCTCTTCCCCGGGTGGAATGGGAATTGGATGGGGTCGGATCGTCTGATGCGCGCCGCCTGGTTCGTTGGTATATAAGATGAACCGCTCACGGTTCACCGTCCAGAAAGTCTGGGACGTCAAGCGGCGGATTTACCAGTCTCTACAGCACAGCATGGCAATTCTCAAGGGTAGCGCCGTCTTCACGGCCATCGCGTCTCTCGGGGCCATTGCGGTCCCCGCGGCGGCGACTGTGCCGACGACCATCACGCCCGAGTACCTCGCGACGGCGGGCAACAACACCCTCTTCACGCGCTGGAGGCCGCGCTCGCACTTCCTCGGGCCTCACAGCTGGATGAACGACCCCTGCGGCGCCGTCTACGACCCGGCCACCGAGACGTACCACCTGCACTACCAGTTCCATCCCAACCACGTCAACTGGGGCAACGTCTCCTGGGGCCACGCCGTGTCCAAGGACCTCTTCCACTGGACTGACGTCCGCGACTGGTCCAACGACTCGTCTGTTTCCCTCGCCGCCGGCAAATACCCCTCCGGCCCCCTCTCCCAGTTCACCGGCACCACGCAGGTGGTCAACACCGAGGGCCAGAACGACGGAACCCTCCTGACGTTCGGCACCGGCATCCACGCCCTGCCCACGAACTGGAAGCAGCCGTACATCACCGGCACCGAGGTCCAGGCCATGTTCACCTCTGACGACCACGGCGAGACCTGGCAGGAGGTCGGCACCGTCATCTACGGGCCCCCCGAGGGCTGGAACGTCACCGGCTTCAGAGACCCCAGCTTCTTCCCCTCCACCGACCTCGATGCCCTGCTCCAGGTCGCCGAGCCCCACTACTACATGGTCCTCGGCTCCGGCCTCAAGACCGGCGACGTCCCCGCCACGCTCCCCGGCGCCGCCCGCCCCGGCTTCATCGGCCCCCGCATCCCCCTCTACTCTGCGCCCGCCTCCAACCTGACCGAGTGGACCTTCCTCGGCGCCCTCTGGGAGCCCGCCGCCAACTCCTCCCTCGGCGCCCCCGACGTCACCGGCTCGTACGGCTACAACTTCGAGGTCAGCTCCTTCTTCGACCTCGCCATCGGCAACTCCTCCGACAAGGCCTGGTTCGTCTCCATGGGCGCCGAGGGCGGCAACACCACCTCCCACTGGAAGGAGCAGTGGGCCCTTTGGAACCGCGGCGACGTCGCCCGCCGCGACAACGGCTCCGTCGAGTTCACGCCCACCTCCGGCGGCGCCCTCGACTGGGGCATCTCCTACGCCCAGGCCACCTGGAAGGACACCCGCTCCGCCAACGGCCGCCGCGTCATGTGGGGTTGGGCCAACGAGGACATCGCCTCCGACTACGCCTTCAACACCTCCAAACAGCTCGGCTACCAGGGCGCGATGAACCTGCCCGTCGAGCTCTTCGTCAAGGAGACCGCCGGCGTCCTCAACTGCGGCGAGCAGCAGGACGGCTCCCACTGCATCGAGAGCTGCAACGGCTACACCGCGCAGACCCTCGGCCTGCGCCCGCTGCCCGACGTCATCGCCCTCCTCCGCGAGGGCGCCGCCGAGCAGGACATCGAGGTCGGCGAGCTCACCGACGCCTCCAAGTCCGTCGTCGCCGACCTCGGCTCCTCGTACGAGCTGACCGCCACCCTCTCCGGCGCGGACCTCCTCTCCGGGCCCGCGGGTATCGTCGTCGCGCAGAGCCCCGACGACGCCGAGCGCACCACCATCCTCTTCGACCCCGCCGCCTCCGAGATCCACGTGCTGCGCGACCGCAGCTCGCTCCTCCCCAACTTCAACAACGCCACCTTCGTCGGGCACTTCCAGCCGTACGAGATCCACGCGAAGGGCAGCAACACCACCGCCACCGAGGACCTGACCTTCCATGTTATTCTCGACAACTCGCTGCTCGAGATCTGGGTCAACGAGCGTTTTGCGCTGACGGCGCGCATTTACCCCTCGCGCAACGACAGCACCGGCCTCAGCTTCTTCGCCGGTGATGCCGCGCAGCCCAGCGGTGCTAAGGCCAGCTGGACGGACGTCAAGGTCTGGAAGGGCCTGGCGGAGGCGTGGCCTGAGAGGCCGGAGGACACCAGCGTGCCGTTGGTGTGGGACACCGCGGAGCAGACGAACAACTACACGTGGTGGGCGGGATACTAATGATGCATCCTGGGAAGGGCCAGGCATGATTTAATGCATGATTTAGACGCAAAAGTAATCTTTATAACTTAAATACAAGTATTTGAAGTAATATTTCGAACCTTCCTTTATGATGATCTAGTGGTGCATAGGTAAATACTATTTGTTTCGCCTGGTAGCTCTCACCTGATGCAGCGCTCCTGTTCATAGAGACGACATCAAACGACTGTCTCAGCAGGCATGTGGTCCCTGTGAAGAAAAAGTAAGGGAACAAAAAAATCAATCTGCATGTACAACAAAAAATGAAAAATGAAAGGGACGAGACTCGAACTCGCGCGGGTTGCCCCACCAGGAAACAGATGTTAAGCTGACCTTAACCTGGCGCCATAACCAACTCGGCCACCCTTCCGTATGGTGATCTTGGTGATCCGTTGTTGCATTTGGTGCGACTGCAAGATCGCCATAAGCCCTAGAGTGGAGCCACGCGGGCGCTGTGTCTGAGCTGTGGTTAGCGTGGAGGAGCAGGCCTGGAGAGAAATGTCCGAGTGGGACCACGATGGCGGCAGCCGTTGCCGCTAAGCCGGCAGCTGAGGGTGGGAGAGAGGCACCATGAGTGTTGTTTCTTGGGAAAACAGGTTGTTTTGGCAGGATTAGCTCGGTGAGGTGTTGGATCGGCTGGTCCAGGCGAGAGGCTGGTCTCCAACCCCGCGGGTGAGGCTGGACTAGTTGTGTCTCTAGGATTCAAGGGATAAACGAGGATAATAAGGTTCAAAGCAAAATGCCGGGGAAAGTTGCTGTGTTATGTCTGCGTTCTATTTAGAATGCATCCGTTGAAGCGATTGAGAAACACGCATCGAGCGGTCATTTTACTCTCAAGAGACTTACATGGCCTCCACTCCGTCGAGAGCGCAGTCCACGACATCCCCACGATGGTGTTGTCCATTGATGATATGACTTCCGAATGCAGTAGCTTGGCTCTAGTCCCTCGAGACAAACACGAAGAGACCAGCCAATGATCGCCCCCATCGAGCTCGGATGATGTTCAACTTCCCTTACTTTCAGGGATCGAACGTGCGGTGCGGCCTCTCCCTTCTGCATCAGGAATGCAGCTGCAGCAGCTGCAACAGCAGCCGTCAAACGGGCAGGCGAGAGGATCCAATCATCCGGTAAACAGGTGTCATTCCTTCCCGCGTAACCCATCCATGTGGAGATCTTCCGCGTGTGATCATCGCGATCTCCCTGTCGGAGCACCAATCAGTGCATGCGCGTCTCGTGACGTCATGAGGCCGTTGCCCAAAGCGGAAAGCTGTTGCCAGCTACGCGCTTGACGTCGGCGGCGGCTGGATCTAGACCTGGCTCCAAACCATGTTTTGGGAGCTCATTGCAGCTTCAAAATAACGAGGGGCTCCCTGGCTTTTGCATCCAGGACCACCCTTTGGTCTCCATCCCCGACATCCTGCAGACACCATGTTCAAGGGACACTCAACAGAAGAAGACGAGCAGCTGGCGGCGCAGCAACAGCCGCCGCCAGCAACTGCTGCAGCTGCACTCCAACCAATCGTGGACCCCTCAAATACGCCAACTCAATCGGACTTTAGCTACTCGAGCCAATCCACGATGGGACAGGAACCGGAGATCGTGGAGGCACATGAGGACGAGAGGCCCACGGACAGCCACCACCTTGCAGACATGGCGACCAAGGAGACGCCAATCGAAGAGAAGGGACATGCGCAGATGGACCACAACGAGGTCGAGGTCAAGAACTTGGGCTGGAACACCCACGCCAAAGAGGTCGCGCAGCCGATGGTCGGTGGGTTGTCAAATGAAGAACTTTGGATCCTCGTCCGACGTTTCGACAAGGTAGGGGCCTGGACACACGCCATGACTGAATGATGTGCCATTGGTGGCCGATACTGATGTGCCCCTAGCAAGTATTTCACGTCAAATCGATCCCAGAACCACCGGTAAGCTTCGTCCAATGATCCCATCAAACCCTCCCCGGTTTAAGGTTCTGACACCCTGCAGCTGGCATCTCTCGACCTGAACATTGCAGACGAGGAGGAATTCTCGCCCGACAAGCTTCGAGCCCACGTTGAACGCCTGTACATGACAGTTATCGTTGGCGCATTCTCATTCTGGAAGCACATCGTTCGCATCCGATCGTGGCGCGAGTGGAAGCGCACTTCGGCCTTTCTATCCGTCTACACCGTCGCATGGCTGCTTGACTTTGTTATCCCCGTGCTCGTCAGCTTCCTCATTGTCCTTGTCCTAGTTCCCGAAGCCCGCACCTTTTGCTTCCCTCCCGCCCCCGCATCCCTCATCGATAGCAAGACTGGCGGCGTCAAGAAGCCTGCGTCAGGCGTCCTCGCTTCAGACGACTCCATAACGGGAGCCCCCGAGAAGCATGCAGGCGAAGCCGTGGAACAGGAAGCGCATAGCTTCGTGACAAGCATTTCATCGCTGGTTATCAGCACCGCGGCGGGCAAACATCCTCAAGGCGATCCCCACACCGACACCGCTGCGCCGGACCCTACTAATATCACTGAAGATGTCGTCAACGCCAAGGACAAGACCGGTGGGGCTACGTCGCCTACTCACCACGACAAGACCAAGAAGCCGGTCTCTGAGACGGTCTGGACCCAGGCGAGGCCTGTGATGCATGCTATTGCGGACGTGAGTAGACATGTATGCCAGCTTTGGTAGAGGCATATCTGATTTTTTTCAAAGTTGGTTGATACGTACGAACGATTTGGAAACGCCCTCAGCCCGACACCACCATTCCCCCAACAACGGCCCCGACTTATCCTGGCCAGCATCCTGCTCCCCATGCTCCTCGGATCGCTCTTCACAACTTCCTACATGCTTATCAAAGGAACCGGATTCATCGTCGGCTTTACCTTCTTCGGCGACCCAATTATCCAAAGAGGCCTGGTGTTTATCAACCGGTCAGTCTTCCTGTCAACTCTGATTGCTCGCGTGTCTAAAGTATGTCAATGTCCAGCACCTACCCTCATTGGAAAAAGTATGTTGAATTGCGAAACACCATTCTCAAGGGCATTCCCACAAATGCCCAGCTTACGATCACGCTGCTCCGTATTGGTGAGAGAAACAAGGCGCCCCTGCCGCCGCCGCCCGTTTCCTCGACACCCCCCCCTGATGAGCCTCACGCCACTGCGGGTCAAGGCCTAGAGCACCTCGGTAAGTTTAAACGGCGTCCTGCGCAAACCCAACGACTCACGAACTTACAAGGCGTCGACCAAGACGAGATAGACGAAGCCGTCCAGCCCGACGAAGCGGCCCTCGCCCCGGCGGAGTCGGAGACCGAGGAGCACAAGCAGAAGAAGGGCCACCGGATTTTGAATTTTATCAAGAGCACCGCCAAGGGCGGAATCAATACCACACTCGCCGCGGACAAGGTCAAGGCCAAGGTCGGAGCCAAACACGCAAAGGACCGCCTCGGCGTCGTCAAGAAGCAGCCCGATCCTGAGAAGGGTCCGATCAGCTTCCCGGCAAGATACAAGGGTAAGCGCGGTCACGCGTTTATCACGGCAACCGCTACGACTCCGGCGTTGAGTTGGACAACGGAGGCGGAAGATGTAAAGCCTGTGTGGTCTGTCGCTATTGGGGATATCCAAGTAAGAATATGCTCCACAAAGCTTAGGTCGCCACGTACTAACATGGTTTCACAGGAAATCCGCAAGGTTGGAGGTCTCGGATGGAAGTCCAAGATCTTTGTGGGATGGGCGACGGATCGTGAGATTGCTGATGGTCTCGTCATCACTGATACCATGGGCAAGGAGCATCATCTCACTGCGATTGTTACTAGAGACGAGTTGTTCAACCGCCTGGTTGCAATGGGAGCCCAGATGTGGGAGGCGTGGTAGTTGCAGGGGAATGACTTATGACGAACAGAGAAACGATAAACGTGTACTAGCATATGTGATTTGAGCGAATTCAATAACATCACCGAAATACCTTTGAAACAACCCAAATTGATAAAATCTACGAGATTTCATGGAAATAGAAACCTCCTCAGCTTTGGTGGAAGTTACAATGGCGCCAACCACGCAGGGGTAGACCCTAAACTTCCGATGACCTCATCCCTCGATGCTTGCAGATCGTCTTCTACCTAGTTCCTTGCCAGCGCCACAAAACGCGTCCACGTCTGTGTTCGCGAATCCCTGAACCGTTTCGCCAGCACATCACGGGTTACATCACCCGCATCTTGCGCTGAACAGCAACTGCCCGAGATCAAAGTGCCTTCCCCGCAATTGCAGACTACTTCTCAACCTCAAAATGCCTCGGCGCGGTACTTCATCACGCGGCGGTCGCGGAGGAAAGGCCGCTGGCGAGGCCGCCAGCGGGGCCGCTAAGCGGAAGCGGGACGCGTCCGATGCGGGGAACTTGGATGGCATCCAGAAGCGGAGGACCGACAAACGCAGCATGGAAGAGGGCCGCGAATGGCAGCATTAATATTACCAGGGCGTCAGCGTCAGTGACCTTCCCGGCATGGGGTGCGGGTGGTGTAGGCTCATCACACCAGAGGTTCCGTTCCACTCACCGTTCACTTGCAAGGGCCATATTGAGAGCATGTCTGGAACGGAGGGGCCTGGCAGCGGCGGGCTTCGTCTCTGTGGCCCCAAGAATTACATGGGTGATGATAAGGATGGTGTCTTTGATGCAGTATTCATGATACCTTACAAGCACATCGGTAGGCATTATCCCCTCTCTAGTTGTGTACTACTTCTCACCACGTCACAGAGCAAGTATTTATACTCCCTAATGTGTCCAAGACCTCAGTAAGGAGCAAGCTTACGAAGTCATTATCGTACCAACTGGCGCCACGGGATCATCATCCATCAAACGAGAGTATCCGCAGATGATATCGTTCACCTGGCCCGAAAAGAAAGCGGATAAAGAGTTGGGCGGCACAGTTGGTGAGGCCGCAGATGGCAAGAAGGACACCTACAGCACCGTGCTCAAGCAGGTCCTAAACGACCAGCTGAAGGCTTTCGACAAGGAGGTCATTGACCCCGGCGAGGACCCTCATGCGAAACTGATGGTAGGCGAGGAGGTGACTCTCTCACCACCGTCAGATGCAAGATTCAAATCCGACGTTGACGGTAAGCGCGGCTTGATTTGCTGTATGCGGCTACCAAACTGACGGCCTCAGGACGCATCCGCTTCTTGAATGAAGGCATTCTTTTCACCGCGGAGACGCAGAGGCTGTTCCTTCCCTTCAATTCCTTGGAGAACGTCATGCTCATACAAGCCCGCGTCGGCAAGGGGAAGACTGTTGGACTGAGTCTGGTCTGCAGTGCCACTGAGCCGTTCTACAAAGACGAGGAGGAAGGTGGTAGTAAGACCATGATGAAGTTCCGTGGCATTGATTATTCACTGATGGATGGCCTCGAGGAGTATATGAAGGCACACGATATCCAGGTTATGCTTTGTGAGCAGTCCTTCTATGATTACAAGAAGGACAAGCCGATGACTGGATTCATGCCGCTGATGAGATGAGATTTCTCACTTACATGAGCATTCGTGTTCTTGCCAGTTCAATGGCAGCAGATGAGTTCCTATAGAATGCAGGGGTAGACTTTAAGCTCCCGGTGACCTCGCTCCAGGATGCTTGCAGGGGTTGACCGCCTTCTCTCTTGCCCCGCCACAAAATGCGAGCGCGATTAGATACCTCCCTTCAGCCCGACATTCACAATCGTAACAGACAACACCGCTTTCACAAATCCAGACTTCATAAGCGGGCACTAAACCGATTAAAGCTTACCCGTACCATTATAGACAGATCTCATTCGGCATCATGGCTGCACGCGGATCCTTGTCCGATTGTCGTACGCCAGAAGAAAAAGCCGCCGCCAGGCGCAAGCTGGAGCGCATGATGGACCCCGCCGACGCGGGAAACCTGGACGGCGTTCAGAAGCGGAGAACCACCAGTAGCGCCGAAAGCCGGGAGGCAGGCTGCGCATGGGAACAGCAGTACTACCAAGGCGTCAGGTCTTCCAAATTCCCCGGATTGGGGTGTGGTCTCTATGCATTCGGGACCCCGCGCGTACCTTTTCAAGCGCCCTTTACCTGCGACGGCAGATTCGAAGTTATGTCGGGACTCGGCGGACCTCGAAGCGGCTCCATCCGCTTTTGCGGTCCGAAGGACTATTGGGGCGTCACTAAACCCCCCTTTCCTAGGCTTGACGCAATCTTCATGTTGCCATTCAAGCATGTTGGTGAGTTGATCTTGCGCCCTCAGGCGGTCCGTCCTCTTACTTTGTCACAGAGCAGATTATCGTCATGCCAAACCTATCCATTTCAGTGACTAAAGATGAGGCGTATCAAGTTATCATCGTTCCTACAGGCGCGGTAGGCGCGTCTTCTGTGAAGAGAGAATACCCTCAGATCATCTCATTCAGCTGGCCAGACAAGGCGGCAGATAAGGATCTGCACAGCCACGAGGCCGCAAACCCCGAGAAAGACACCTACCTTTCCGTGTTTGTGAAGGCTATGAACGATCATCTTAAGCCGTTCAACAAAGCTGTGATTGACCTCACCTCCGATACTGGAAGAGGGTCTGCGATTGAGCGGACCGCAGTCTTGTCACCACCGACCGATTCGAGGGTCAAAGCCAAGACCAGAGGTAACAGCACGAAACCCCATGATTTGCGGATAGAAGATGCTGACCTCACCAATGCCAATTGTACCTCATGAACCAAGGCGTCTTCTTCAACTCCCATTCGCACAGAGTTTACCTATCTTTCGATTCTGTGGAGAAAGTAATGACCATCCTTGCTCACGACATGAAAGACCAGGGCAAGGTCGCCGGCCCCAATTTGATTTTCAGCGCGACAGAGCCATTCTACAACGCTGAGGAAGAAGAGGCAGAAAGTCAGACTCTGATAAAGTTTGTTCAAGTGGATCATACGCTTCTGGATGATATAAAGAATTACATGAAGCAGCACAGGGTCGAGTTGATGCTGTGTGAGCAGTCATTCTATGATTATGAGAATGATAAGCCTGCAACTGGATTCATGCCGATGAGATGATAGCAGACTTAAACTCATCTGTAAAATGGCCTATCTTTTTTGCCATTTCGATGGCACCAGATTCTCAGTGCTGAGACAACGTTGAACAGTATGTGTATCTAGGTACGGCGCCCCACTACGTAATCGAGTCAGTGACTGCCCGTCATCAAAGGGCCACGTCAAGCTTGGCTTCACCGCGATCAATGTAGATTTGGTTAGGTCTGCTATTTACTCAGCGCTCTCGGTGAATACGGATTACCGTTTTGCAGGGTGAACTCCAAATTTAATATCAAAAGACTCCACCAGCCGCGATAGCGGATCGTACTAAAGTTGTCAGGGACTCAATGGCGGGCGGAGGTTCAAACGCCGTCGGCGATGGTGATACTCTCCGAAGTCGAGCCGCAATTATTGGTGCCGTTGATATCTATTGGATATAATAGGATAACTGAAGGCTTGGTCTGGCAAATGGATAAATAGTCTGGATAGACGACGCTCACTTACATCGTTCTTTGACACCATTATCGCAATTCGACATCAGATCTTACTACACTCTTTAGTTGCGCCATCGGTATTCAGTATTTTTATTCGTTCTACAAATATGCGATCAATCACCTTCGTTCTGGTCGTTTTCAACGTTCCGGCAATCTTCGCCGCTTGCAGGACCGTCGTGCAGCCATGCGTAAGCCTTCCGGAGAGACTGTGTACCTCGGGGAGTATCCTTTTGACTGACAGTGTTCCAGACAAACTTCCAGACTTGTTACGCATTGGAGATGCAATCGACCTGTGCTTCTAACGAGCACGTGGGTTCTGGAAGCTGCCAGTCCACAACATCTGCTGCTAACAGCTACGTCACGGTAAGCTCATCTCTCTTCCAACATACAAAGGTCGTGGCTGATGGAGATGTCCAGTGCGATTGCTGTACTTAGATTAAATTGGTCTCTTCGAGGGTATCGGGGTGAAAGACCAGAACTTTCAAAGTTGAAGGCAAGCTCGGGGGAGAAAACGGATCAGCTATCAGGTCATGTCGAAATTTCGTGTATTAAGTCAGGAGATGCCCGCAAAACAAGTCCGTTGGCTCTCAACCGCCAATGATACAATCTGAATAGCCCAGCTTTTGATATCATCCGAAACCTCATTCATGGCCACTATTTCCCCGGCGTAACCTTCTCCGCAAGCTTATCAAAATCCCCTGCTCCAGGCGTCGTCGTGCCCTTGGGCTTTCCCTTCAGATGAACCAAGTAGGCCCCGACGCCAACTCCCACAGCAGCGATCGCTGCCAGGGTAGGCCTTATTGGAGTCAGTAACACACAAAAGAACCGACGTGATCCAAGGAGAACTCACCAACTCTGCGATGCACCGCTTTGGGGAGGCACAGGCTCCTGCCCACCCGGCCCGCCGAGGTCTCCATCATTCGACTTGGCGCTGTCCCATCTCACTTGTCTGGCTGCTGCGATGGGCATTGAGGCCCGCGGAATGCTTCTCGGAATGGCAGCGCGGCGGATTGCAAGGCCTCGTGTGAACGACATTGTGACTTTTGATATTGCTGTCCAACGTGCGAATCGGGGTCGTGTTCAGAGAAGAATGTCTTCCCGGAGAGATCGTTTATGCTCTGGTGGGTGGTACTGTCAATAGAACTGAGTAAAACCAATCAGGTCCAAAATAATTTGAACGGAAGTTGAGAATCGCAATGCTCTCAATGGTGGTGACGACACATTTCACAGGGGGTGCCGTGAGCCGCGGAATGCGTCATCGGTACATCATCTCGAAACCGTCCCCTCTTCTCCCTCCCTCGACTCCAAAGGCAAGGATTCCCCAAAATGCCACTGTCCTTCAACTAGAACTCCCAATTAAAATCCGTCGCGCTAATTAAAAGAATGACATGGGACGGATAGTTTTCAGCTGAAATGTTTCCGTGCAGCGTTCTAGAACAACGAATGCAACTGCATTGGCCTAAGAAGTGTCTTTCAGGTGCGGCTCCTGCAGGGCTCCTTTTCTGCAACGACACACACCCGCATGGATTGAAGTGAAAATTGTAAGATTTGAACGATGATATGCATGGTTGCGTTAATAAGCTCACAGGAAGTATACTGAAATGAATTCCCACCAGACCCTTTAGCAAGACGTATCCATGTGGGCCAAGCGTAGCAGTCAGAAGTCGGGTTCACCTCAAAACCGCATCTACAAGCACCCTTCAACACCCAAAGAACGGACAGCGATCTCACCTAACCCATCCCAAAAACTGGATAAACATTTTCCACAATAACCCAACGCCAAGACTCCATGTTCCGCAATTCAAACAACCAACAACCAACAACCATCCCTCGCCCGACACCCAAAATCCGAGCCCGACCGCCGTTCGTATTCCCGAGCACCAGCCACCCGTTCGGAGATGATAACACTGACACGATCGATATCTCGGAAACGGCCCGAGACATGAGACAGCAAAAGTCTCCGGAGTCGGATCTGCCAAGCGGCGTTGCGGGACGGTGTTGTTGGTCTGATATCGTTCAGCTCGTGGGGGTCACCTCGCCTGCGGGCAGCTCTTGGAGAAAGTGGATGCCAAGCTTGGAGAGGGATAGCTATGGCGGGTTGCAGATGGAGAAAAAAGGAACTCTTACGTATTAAGGGAAATGTAAACAAAGGGATGTAGTCTTCGAGAGTAGCGTGACTGCTTCTCCCGTATACTTGCTATCGTCGTCGTCGTCGTTTTTGTTGACGCTTTCGTCGTCGCTTCTATTATTAGCATTACTGATATCGTCGTTTCCACCATGATTTCAGTTCACATTTTCTCTCTTTACTGTGATTTACTGTTCTGCCCAGTAGAACAATACTTTGCGTGTGTTGAGCAACACAAAAGCATAGCCCCATCAGACACAGGAAAACCGGGCGGTGCCATCGAAAGATCAGAGAAACCTGTGTCATACACAATGCTTACTCGATGTGTTGAAGAAGAAAATGAGAGGTGCTTTTTTTCCTGTGGTATCTAACATGCCTGTGATGCATCCCAAAAGAAACTCATAATGCTGATGCTACCGTCGACGCCATCGCCATGCCATGAACATAAGAAACATATCCCTACAAAGAACAATGCTTCTGTTCGCAAGCCAGGTGTACCCTGAATTGTCTGTTGTCTTTTGTCGTCTCCCGTCGTCGTCGTCTCCCGTCGTCATCTCCCGCCGCCGTCGTCTTTCCCGTCGTCTTCTTCTCCGCCGTTGTTCTCCCCCCTCATCGTCCCCCTTTATCGTCCCTTTTCGTCGTCTCTCTTCGTCGTCCCCCTTCGTCGTCTCCCCTCATGCCATGGGAGGAAACGGTGACCAACCGTAGCTTATAGCGACCTGGGTCAGTCCTACGAAAGCCACAATAACCACGTAACAAGAGTGGGCACCATGGGGCTCGTTGGCATCCTAAACAATCGGGCGCGGGGTGCTCGTCTTGCCACCAGTCCAGTAGTCAGTCTTCCGGACGGCTCTCACTTCGGGTGCCTTCCAATCTGGCAAGGACTCCTTCGTCTCTCTGATCGCGTCCATAACCCAGGACTTGATCTCGCACAGCGCGCGGCGGCGCTGGATCCGCTCTTGCTGCTTGACTTTGGAGGCGAACTCGCCATCTTCGGAACTGCCGAATGCGTGGACGTGGAACGTCACGAGGAGAGTGAGCGTCTTGAGAGAGGGAAACTGCCGTATAAAGTGGATGCCAACTAGACACTGCCCCTGAACCCAGCACGGACGGAGACCCCAGTCCATGGCGAGGTGCTGGATGTTGGCAAAGTTTGCTGCGTCTGGCATGGTGGCGCGGGGAGGAGCTGTTTTTGTCAGTCATAGTCCTCAAATTCAGACAATATCAAGCTCTTACCTCTATAGATATAGAGCGTATCCTTTTCGCAATTGACATACGCCCCCCTTCCGCTTGCGCCTGACGAGTGCACCAGCTCAAACTGTTCTTGCGTTCTACCCCGGCGGTGCTCCCTCTCATAGAGTAGCTCCGCACGAGATTCTCGGCAAACCTGCAAAACCGCGGGTATCGGCGCTTGGCGGTGAAGGGTGTGCTCCATGAGGCTATAGTTCATGGCGCGTTCGATCACGGCAGGCCGGGGCACCGCCAGACGCCAGATGCGAATGCGGATTTCCGGCGGGAGCTCGTTGAATCTGTGGAAGGAGCGGGTGAAGGGGCAACTGAGATCTATGCTGGCGAGGCTCATGGCCTCTGGATCGAGATGACAGGGGGCAGGTGAAGTTGAGAGTGGCATCTTGAAGATGGTAATGGGCGTGGTGTGGAAGTGGCGTGTTGGGGAGATTTATGGTGTAAGCGCGGGTTGTGGTCGTATGTCGACTTTTGCAATCTCATCAGGAACGAACAATCCCGACTGAAGTGAGTAACAAAAGCGAAAAGAAAAAAAGAAGATGAGGAAAAGTTGTGCGAAGGGCTTGCCGGATGGAAGTCGAGACTCTAATAAGAGAAGAGAGGGAAGGGGCGGTCCAGTATCAAATCCGAACGGTCGCCTCTTATCGCGATGGGAGGAAGTCGTGCTCGGTCGTCCGGTCGGGTTCGGACTGGCTGCTGCGGTGAAGGGAACGCCTTCCAGGGTGACGTGGATTGGATTTTGGGCAGGGGCGGGAAGGTACAGCAGCAGATTCACCAGGGTCGTAGGTCGGGTCCACGTCTGATACCGCTGTTGTTGCTCTCGGGTTGCTCTTTCCGTCTGATGCGGCTGCGAAGTCTAGAACGCCAGCCGACTTGGCGGTAATGTGCGTTGCAGTTGGGACGTTTCGCTGCGCGTGTAAGGCGATTCTAGAAAAACGGTCCGACGACGTTTAATATGGGAGAGAGAGAGAGCAAACAATGGCAGCGGCGGCAGGCAGTCTCGATGGTCTCAGAATCTGCACAATCTAAGACTAACAAAAAATCGACAGAAGCAAGGACTCGTCTGGGCGAAGATGAACCGGAACGGAGCCCCTTTGATGGTTTTTATCAATGGGTAGAAAAATAAGACTATCCTAAGGCTATTGCATGAGTCCCGTTTGATAGTACCAAGAAAAAAACCATCAAAAATGAGGCAATGAAAATTTCTCGGGTCCGGTTCCTTGCCGCCGTCTCCTGCCATTTCTCGCCGTTGACTGGCTGCTAACACCTCACTAAACCGTCCCGTCCCCTAAGAGCATGACACAAGTCGCCAAGCGGTCAGTGCCAGGCCTTTCGCTGGCTCGATCTTGAGCCCATCTTTGATTCAATATCCGGGTGCCTCCCTGGAAATCTGGCCATGATTGGACGAAAAACGTACTCTACCATTTCCAAGGAAAAACAAAGCACCCATTGACTGATATCAAGTCAAACGAATAGGGGACAGGAGCGGCCCGTCAGTGGCATGTCAGTGAGCTGTTTCCCCATCAGGCCAGAAACCATTAATAGTGGGACCCCAAACCACTGCCACCACCGGGAACAACGGGCGCCAGCGAGGAAACAGCGCAGGCCAGAGGCAAAATACGGGCGCATTCTGACGTCGGAACAGCCTCATTTCGAAGAAACGGAAAGCCACCTCTCGGGAGCGCCCTTGGCTTGGCCTACGATGAATGGGCCGTGGGGGTCCATTGAGACATTCATGCGCGACACCGCACGCAGTAGCATCCACTGTTGCTGAATATGACTGGACCGCCTACTTCACACAGCCGCCGGTAACGAAATGCCCGATTCCTTGGTTCAATTGCCGCCAGACACAAACACGCACGTCGTCCGATGCTCCGCTGAGCCTCGACAATCTCCCGTCGCCTGAGCCATCTTATTTTATGTGTCTCGTCACATCGTACCAGATTGTTTGATCTAGTTGCATCTCAAAGGCCAAGGCCAAATCTCCCAATCCGCCATTCGCGCACCATTTCGAGTGACCATTTTTACCACAACTACGACTCTCGATGCACTGCCCTCAGCGAATGAGCCAGGGTTTCCCACCGACACGTGAATCGGTCTTTAGAAAAGCATCTCTGTTGAGATTCCATGCTAGAGTGATTATATACCTACACACTACCTCGCCGTCGTCGTCTTTGTATGCGTAAACAAGAAGATCAGGCACTCTGTGACTTACTCCAGTGTCGGCGTCTTCAATCGGTGGGTGTCGATTGCTTAGGTCGCCCTCGTAGACCTGGAGAGTATGGACCCCATCCACAAATGTAGCCTCACTTCACCACAAACTAAGTCCACGTCTAAAACATTGAAGAATAATAGTAATAACAGACTGACTACCGCTATCAATATTCTAACCCACCTTAATCTTCCGACACCAGTCCCGCCCCCTACTAACCTGCCACTCACACAACCGCACCTCCATCAAAATCCCCAGAAACCCAGCAATGCAGATGCCCCCGCTATCGCTCACACTCGTCGCCGCAAGGCTAAACTCCCTATCCTCCGCCGGCACCTTCTCCATAATCTCCGCAAACGTATTTACATACACCGCGCCGCCCAGCAACCCCTCCCAGAACACAATCACAAACACAACCCACACCCCAGGCAGAAAGTCAAACATGGCCTGCGCCGTCAGCAGCCCCAGGTTGCCCACCTGCAGGAACGAGGGCAGGTACAGCCGGTGAATCCGCAAGAACGGCGTCGACGAGCGCGAGATGAAGACGCCCAGCTGGTACAGGAAGCCGTACATCGGGTAGAACTCGCGGAACTCCTTGAACGGCGACGACTCCAGCGGGAACAGCAGCGTCGGCGCCACGCCCTGGTTGATCGTGTACTCGGCGACGTAGACCAGCAGCAGCGGCAGCATGTACGGGAAGAACAGCCGCTTCGCCCGCGCCAGGTTCGCGTCGAACGACGCATCGTGGTGCTTGGTGGCCGAGTACGCCGTGCTCGTCAGCCCCGGCCCGGGCGCCAGCAGCGCCGACGACGCCGCATCCCGCGGCATCTCCTCCACGTCCTCCTCCTCGAGGTCGTCCGCCCCCGGCACGGCAGTGTACTCCTCCTCCTCCTTCCTCCCCGCCCGCAACGGGCCCTTGGGCAGCACCAAGAAGAAGCTCACAAACATCACCGACGGCAAACTCGCCGAAAACAACAAACTGTTCCTCACAGAAAAGCCCCACCAGTCCGTGAGCGCGACATACAGCCCCGCGCCCACCAACCCCGCGGCGCCCGTCCCGCTGCCCCAGCCCGCGAGACTCATGGGGCCGTAGTAGTGCGTCAGCCCGAGGAAGCTGAGCTCGCCGCCGCCGGAGGAGAGGCTTGCGATGCCGACGCCGACCATCTTCACGGCGACGGACTTGTCGGGCGGGGTGAGCGCGACGAGGAGCATGCCGCTGACGGAGAGGGCGATGAGGACGCAGACGCGCGCGGCGTAGGGGACGCGGTGGATGAAGTAGGGCGCGACGAGCTTCGTGAAGAAGGAGGGCAGCACGTCGGCGAGGAGGACGACGCCCTTGGGCACGGCGGAGCCGACGAGGTCCTGCGCGGCGGAGAGGATGATTACGTAGAGGACGTTGTTGATCAGGCCTGTTTTTTTGCGAGGTGTTAGCAGGAAGGGGGTGACGAGGCAGAGGGCGGACGATGGGAACGCACCGAGGAGCCAAAAGGCCACGACGACCTGCGTGTCGGCGTGGCGGAACATGGCGGACAGGCGGGCGCGGTAGAGCGCCCACGACGAGGACGGCGAGCCGGGCATGGGGAGGAGGCCGGAGGACGAGGGCGAGCGGCCTGTCATGTCTGGCGCGGCGAGGTCATTGAGAGCGGTGAAACCGGAGAGTTCGTTGCTGTCGGGGCGGGAGGACGTCTTATCGCGAACTGGGAGAGTTTGGGTGGTGCGGCTGTCGGTCACAAGATAACGGCTGTGTCTCAGCGGAGGGCCCAGTCAGCGGTCGGAGGTTGCCGTTTCGGCAGGCTGGGACCCCCTAGCTGGGTGAATTGTCACTGGCCCCACCCTTTTGCGCTGGGAGTCCCTGTCAGGTCCACGCGACCCGGCGGGTGTGACTGCACCGTGACGTCGTGGCTGGAGGCCGTTGATCGTCGGAGCTCGTCCCGAGTCAGTTTTGCAATGGCATCGAATTTGATGATTGCGATGCCACGAGTGAAAGCGCATGGGAATCACGAAAGCATTTTTTGTTGCAACTGGTTTCTGGTTGAATCGGGTATTTCGGGTCCCGCGAATGTGTATATGAATGTAAATAAACATCTCTACGCTCGCTGTCTCTCATGTCGCAAACCAACTGCCGCTGCATAATGTCATATAGCTACCACCTTTTCGAACTTGAATAGAACCGTAATATAATCATCACAACGCCGGGCCGTCCCATGCGTCTCTGTTCATCCGCATAAAGTACGACTGCTTGTGGGAAAAGGCAATCTCGCGCTCTTTGGCGAAGCCCGCACTCTCCAGTAATCGGAGGAACCTGTTGTCCGTTAGTACCAATGCCACACACCCAGAACCAAAGGGTGTCTCACCTTGTGTTGTCTATCCGCGGCTCCAAGCAAACATTCATCGTACGGTAGTCGTCCGTTAGACACCAGTGCACCAGGCTGGATAGCCACGCCGGCACCCGGCCGCGGGCCCACTCCTCGCCGATGAAGAGGTGGATGCCGCGGTCCCAGTTGTCGGCGTCGTTGCCCAGCTTCTGGCCCAGGATATCCTCCTTGACCCAGTATATCTCAAAGTAGCCAAACGGAATGCCGTCCCACATGCCAATGACGGGGAACGAGTGCTTCGAGCTGAGGGCGTTTTCGAGGAAGTTTGGCGTGTAGTCGCCCCAGAACTCTTGCACTCGGGGGTTCGAGAGCCACTTTTGAAGGAGTGCCGTGTCGGAGAGGCTCATCAGGTGCAGATTCTCCGCCGGCTTTGGGCCGACTGGTCCGAGGTAGGGCACGGCGTTCGGGGCGAGGGAGGCGACGCGGAAGGAGAGGTACTGGCCGGCGCTCGGGATGTAACGGGAGTAGAACACTTCGCCCATGCGGCCTGGCTTCGGGCGGATGGGGTGCCGCACGCCGTCAGTGACTGTGTACATCAGTGGCGCTGGGGGGTAGTACGTCGGCAGGTGCGAGCTTGAGTAGAACGGGCCGATGGGGAAGCTGGGCGTAAGGACCGCAGACATGGGCGGCGGGCCCCCGGGGAGGTCGACGTCGAAGCGGCTGCCGGTCGACTGGTGCGGCGTGTGTATGGGCGTGTGGTGGCGGGAATGTGTCGAGTCGGCGCGGACAGGCGATGTCGGTCTGCTGCCCGTCGGCGAGTCTGAGGGCCCTCCGCCGCCCGTCTTCTGCAGCGTGAACAGGAACAAGCGACCAGGTATCTGCCAAAACATCTTTCGTGAGACAAACATCTGCGACCACTCCTCCCCGTTGTCCTCCAATCTCGTCCCAACGGCCGAGTCCAGCGAGGCAATCAACCCCATGCGCTCCAACTTGGGTATCAAGTTCCGCCCGCGCAAGACGCCGTCGCGCTTGATGTTGATGCGCCACTCGCCCTTGGGACGGGCTGCCTCGGGGGTGAGTCGCGAGGCCTCAGTGACGAGGTAGGGAGAGGGTCGGGGCTGGTGGAAGTACCAGTACAGGGTTACCCACAGCATCATGGCAATCTGGCGGGTGGGGCTCGCGGCGGGCTTGAACTCGGTGCTCGAGGGCTGAGAGATCGACGAGATGAAAAGGTTGTCGTTCTGCAGCGTCGGCTGCTTGAAGCTGTGGATGTGCCGGCGGGCAACGCGGGCGCCCTCATCGTCGCTGTGGTCGCCGTTGACGGCGGCATCTCCGAAGGGCTCGGGGTCGTTGTCCTCGGTGTTTAGGACGATGGTCCAGCCGATGGGGAACGGGTTGTTGTGGGTGTTGAGGTCGTGGGACTTGAAGAAGAGGCCGGCGAAGACGGGGGTGACTGTAAACTTTTGGCCGTCGGGCAGGTGGATGATTTGGGGAGGCATGGTGGTGGGCTGGCGTGCTCTGGGCGGTGGAGCGGAGCTACGACCCTTAGGGCAGTCGCCTTGGGAAGCCTGGTGGAGGGCGGGAGAGGGGCCAAGGAGGGGTCAGGTCGCGGTGAGTCGGTGTGGTTGCACGAGCGAGATGGAAGTGTGCGCTGCGGTATTTCTCGAGGTGGTCGTCTCTAAGATGCCGTCGTCGGGGATTGCTGATGTGCTCGGAGCAAAGGGAGAACCTTGGGAGAGAGGAGAGACACTGCCGAGAAGGGAGATGGCGGGGTCGAGAAGAAGCAGCTTCTTTAGCGACAATAAGTACTTCCAGACGCGACAACGCGAACAACAGACGTCGTGAGATGTCCCCAGGCACATGCGGCTATCGTCAGATCCGGGGAGGCCTTCTAGAACCCCTCCTTCGGTCGGAGATGGCCATTCATCGCCGTCGCATATCGAGGGTAGGGAGATTCTGACAAACAGGGGCCTGTTGGTTGGGTGGTGGCATGATGATGCGTCAATCATGTGGGGTGAAGCTCTCCCGCTGGCGGCCGCGGCGGGGTGCCACCAACCGATAAGGGCATGGTACAGGCCTGGAGCTTGGGTGACGGTGGCTCCTCGCCTGTGAGCTTTTCTGTAGCGCACGTGTTAGCGACTTGGATGTGCTGGCTGGTGAGAATGCTGTGCAGGCCCATGCCCGCACCGCTCGGTGAGGCCGACCCCTTCCGTCTTTCACCGGGACACACCGCCAGAGGTGGGCTGTTTGCCAAGGTGACGGGGATACCAAGTGAAGAGGTTGCATTGGGGGCCCTAGGGAGCTGAAATTTCAATTCAGCATTCTATTCAGCCTGACTTTTTAGCATCTACACACCAACACTTTCCCGTTCACATCGCCAGTAACAGGTCATGACGGAACATCTGGACGCTTATTACTATCGCTGTCTATCATGCTCGAGATGCAACGGTAAATAACATCATACACTGTATCGGGGTATCGCACTGGAAAGAGGCAAATGCTCTACGACGCCTTCTTGCTGTCGTCGCCCTCGGGTTCCCTTTGCCCCTGCTTCTTCTGATCCTTGCGCTCACGGGCGCGATCGTCTTCGTCCTCCTCCACGTCCTCCTCGTCGTGCTTACGTCGCCGGTCCTTGCGCTCCTTGTCGAGCACCTCTTGAACCTCCTCGCCGCCGAGGTCCTTGGTCTCGTCCCAGTCAACGTCGTACTCGGTCGCCACCATCTTGATCTCGCGTCGCAGCGAGTTGGCCTCGTGCACGAGCTGCTCCCATGTCTGCGGATCGAACCCGCGCGCCTGGTAGAGCGCCTGCTGGCGTTTCGATACCGTCACGTTGAGCGCCGCCTTGTAGCTGAGCTCCCGGCTAATGTACAGAAACCAGAGGTAACCGCCCATGATGGTGGTCAAGCCCACCAGGTATGTCACCGGCTCGACGAGATCCCAGCCAAAGTCGGTGTGGAAGGTCACATAGTAGACTACTCCCCACCAGCCCAGCAGCACTCCGAATCCGCCCTGGGCGATGCGATGGGCGCCTCGGTGGGCGAGGGTGTCGCATTCTTGCTTCAGTTTTGCAAAATGCTCGACCTTGTGCGACAACTTGCGCAAGCGAATTCGCATGTAGTACGTTCGGTCGTTGAAGCTGGGCACCGCCACGCGAAGCTCCTGGTCGTAGCCCTCGATGCCGATAGAGAACTCCCGTCCGCGCGCAGCGTCTCGAATGAAGTCGCCGACCTCGGTGCTGCTGCTCCAACGAACCCAGTTGGTATCGTCCTGCTTCTTCTTTGGGCCCTCACGACCTAGGCCGGAGTACGAGGCAACGTTGCCCTCTTGCTTCTTCGTCGCAGCCTTGTGCTGGTCATTTCCTTTATGATCCGCCTCGGCTCGGAAGTATATCCTGGGAATTCGCTCCCGACGGCCGTCGTCAATTGGTGGGATCTCGGCCTGGAGCAGCCTCTCGAGGTAGGACAATGGCTGCTGGGGGTGGACGAGGAGTGCAAGGGGAGCAATCTCCTCTTGTTCACCTTCTTTCTCGCCATCTTTCTTGGGGGCTTGTGTGATCCTCGTCTGCTCGGCGTAGAATGGCAGCGGCAGGATGAGCTTCAATAAACGGGTCGGAGTGGTGAGCAGGCGTCCTATAGCAGAGTCAGCATGCAAGGCACTGCAGAGCTTAAGCACTCGGAGCGGGAAGTCGGTGCGTACCGCGGGTCTTATCACCGTTTGTCGGATCTTTGGACGACTCCCGCTGCTCGACCTCGTTTCCAGCGCGGTGCCACGGCCTCTCCTCCTGCTTCCTCAAGGCAAACAGCTCAGCGCGTTCGTCCTTCTCCTTCTGCTCCTCCTTGTGCATGTCCTCCCTGTTGGTCTTCTTGGCCTTGGCGTTCTCGACCTCATCCCGGCGGTTTGCAGAGTGACTGGCCGCGCGTCCGAAAGCTGGGATGCTTCTGCCGATGCCGACTCCGGCTGGGCGGAAAGCTTGACACAGCGAGCCATGCTTGGTACCGATGCTGGCAGGCAATTGAAGGCATACGCGACGGAACGCGTAGCTCATTTCGATGTGTGTTGGTCTGAAATGGTGGGTTGGGCCGAGGTGTTCTCTTTTTTGAGTTTTTGTCTACTTGATCACAGTGACATTTTCGTTTCCAAGAGGAGGACAAAATGCAGCAGCAACCCAAGCGGGAAACAAGTATCCCGTCGCTCCTGCTTCCAGCTTTCATTGCTTCCTGCTGGTACGACGCCGCCATGACGTCAATGTCGGTGGCTGTCACGTGTGGCTGTGGCTGAGCCATCTTAGAGGAGCTACAGCTCCAGCTCCGATGAGCTCGATGCAGCTGCAGGTCCCACGTCTTGGTCTTGGCCTTGACAGCTCCACCCCGGTCTCGTTCTGTGGGCTTCAAGCTTGATTCCCGGCACTTTCAGCATCATCACTCATCACCGCCCAATCTCCGTCGAGCCCCAGCTGCAGCAACACGTCGCCATCGGTTGCCCTTCCACATTCCGAATGCCGGACGTCAACAAGCGCTGATCAGAGGCCTGCGACACGCGACTAGCCCCTCCACGACTGGGGCCATTGAGAGCCGCCTGTCATCATCACCAACGTTAGTCGTACAGCTGCATCATCATGCTTCAGTGCCAAGAGAAGCACTTCTCTGAACAGATCAGAATCAATGGGCAAAATGATTTCTACGGCTCGGCAACCTAGGACCCTCACACCACTCAGCTGGTGTATTGCCATTTGACACTTTCCCACCCCTCCCGTCTGGCGACACGGGCACCGAATCCCTCGCCGTTCTTGATCGGCCTGGCTGCCGCAGCCGTCATCGGACACCGGTCCATTTTTGGGGCCGCAGTCGTTGCCTTCTTGTTCTCGTCCAGCGTCGTCACATCAAAGCCCAACACCAGCGAAGCCACGAACCCCAGGTTTTCAGCAAACGCAAAGTTGCGTCCAGGGCACAGGTGCCTTCCGCCACCAAAGGGGATGAATGCAGCCTTCTTGACCTTCTCCATCATGATGTCTCCCTCAGCCTTCTTGTCTACGAACCTGTCCGCCACGAATTTGTCGTAGTCTGTTCCCCAGACCCTCTCCAAGCTATGCGAGACCTCGTGGGACAGCTGAATATTGCAGCCTTCCTTCAAGAGGTACGTGTTGCCCCTGCCGTCGGAGATGGTCGTGTCCTTCATCACACGGCGATGCCCCATGCCCTTGTTCGACAACCGGATGGACTCGCGGTAGCAGCTCACAAGCAACGGGCACTTTTCGTCAATCGCCCCGATATCGATGGTCACCTCGCCGTTCGATCCGTGCGTGGCAATCGCTGCCACTTCTTCTCGGAGCTTGGCCACCAGCTCGGCGTTGGTAAAGACATGCGCAACAAACCAAAACAGAGTCGGAATCGTGTTGGACGTGCCCACGTGGAGGAGAGCAATCTCGAACGTGCCAACTTCCCTGTCAGGGATGCCGTGTTTTCGAAGCACGTTTGCTCGGTTCTTCACAATTTGCGCCGCCTCCTCGTGGTCATCCTCTCTTGCTCCGTAGTAATCGCTCAGCACCGCCTGAAGTTTGGCGCGGGCCTGGTAACATCTCTTCGCAATGATGGATGGGAAGACGCCCAGCATGAGCAGGCCCAAGCCGGCATCAAAGGCCCTACGTGGTGTCAGTGAAATCAAGCGAGATACGCCGCAGGTGAACTTACCAAACCTCTTCCATCAAGCTGGCGTCCTTCGCGAGCGGGTTCGCAGGCCCATACAGCGCCTCAGCCGTCGCCAGGGTCATCAAGTTCCTAACCCACAAGAAAAAGTTGGTGGTCTCAAACGCCTCCCCAGCCGGAATATCTTCCAGCACCTTGGCCACGTATCTCAACGCATTCGCATTCATGCGTCGCACGTTCGTCGGCGTCATCCCCGCGTGGATCCCGTCAAAGAACTCCGGCATCAGCGTCGAATCCCGCAGAATCTTGAGCGTATCGTTATCGAACCCCAGCTCCCGCTGCGCGAACTCGAGAGCAAACGGCGCGAATGAGAGGTCCTTGTTGCGATGCACAGCCTGTCCCAGCATGGGGCACCACACGCCGTACACCTTTCCGCCCAGGATAGGCAGCGTCGCGATCCGGAAGCCCCTAGGTCTGCATCACACACATGATCAGCTCCGAGTTTCTCAATCGCGTCAGGCCCACCCCTCATTCGCCATGAAACTTACTCAAGAAACTTGAAATAATGACTCTCGTGCTTAATCATCCCAATCAAGTGCCCAATCACAGGGATCGTGGGCTTCATCAGCGGCGGCTCCCGCTCCTCCACCGCAGGCGACGACAACCTGCTCACCAGCACCAGAATCGCCAGGACCGCGGCGAATGTCGAGTACAGCACCGGCGACCTCTGCACGTCCTCCGCGAGGAACGCGAGGAAGCTACCTGCCTTGGCCGTCCCGTTCCCCGCCAGCTCTCCAATCACGGCGGGGGCTGCGATGGCCATGATTCCGTCGTCTCAACTCGTATGCGTTCGTGACCTGGGATGAATTTCGGAGATGGGATGACTGAACCTTTCCCGGAAATCACAAGACTACGAATGCTTTCTTAACAAAAGAGGGGGTTTGCGGACGGCTGCATGACATATACCCAACGAACAACAATCCCCCCTCCTCATTCATCCCGCCCAGAGACTCGGATTTCCCATCCTAAAAAGAAGATTAAACTCATATTTGCGGGCGTTTTACGTCAGAATTTAGCGCTGAATCCTTTCTTTTTGACGACTGCGGTTTAGACCTACGCGCCGTCTGCCCCTTGTCTCAATCTGTCCAAGAGGTCTAGGGTAGCGCGGCGTCATTGCTTGGGCGCTTTCGGGTCCACAATCCTGCAGAAAGGGGACCTGGCCAATTGGGTTTGTTGCATTAAGAAGTGCTTGATCGGGGATGGTGTTTCTTGGGAGAACCGTTTGAGTTGTGGCTGTCGTGGAATGGGTGCCTGGCCTGCCGTGCGGTGGGTTCAGGGACTTTGGTGGAAGGAGGGTCTTTTGGCGGCGTGAGGCAGCTGGATGAGGTACTATGACCAGGGCAGCTTCCGGGAATGTGGGCCTGCCCGGCCAGGAGCTCTGCGGACATTTCCCAACGTGGGACGGCAGTCGGGTCCGGGCCGGCGTGGGTTTTGCCCCATGTGCGGAGTGGCTCCGTGCTTTCCTCCGTCTATCCCCGACTCCAAAGACGCGTGATTCCAACACTTCCATACCGAATTCCAAATTGACAGGTGTTTTACTGTGGATGTCGCCTCGCCTATTGGGCAAAGAGTTAAACAATGCAGCTGGCTATGTGCTCGGACTACATCCATACTCGAATGCGAGCGAGCCAATGATGGGACGGGGAAAGTATCCTCTCGAAGTTGCGCTCCACTTAGCTGATTCTGCGTATGCTTGAGGCTGTTGGGCTAAGGTCTAATATCTCCCGCGTTCATTTGTTGGATTCGGGAATCATTCCACTTCCCTTCGCAGAAGACAAACACCTTTCGACAAGCATAGAGAAGGTATGTGTACAGCGGACTTTGCCAGCATTCCGGCTGTGTTATAAGGGTCCTCATGACTTCTTCATAAGGATTCGTCGCAATCATTGTGGCCGATCTGCAACAGTATCGACTCTGGGCGTTGGTAACAGGGCGGGAGGTGGCGTAAACAGTGGTGGCAGACGTGCATGTTTCCTGCACCAAGAAGATTTCTTAGCCTCCGGTCGTGAACGTAAAACTTCTACCACACCATCAGCTCCACCAAGCATCCCAAACACCATGACCGCCACCAGCCTCGTCATTTTCGATTTGGACGGCACGCTCTTCGACCCGTACGCCTCCATCGAAGAAACAATCAAGCTCACCTTCTCCTCCTTCCTCCCATCCACCCCGTCGCCCGCCCCCGCCCATGTCCGCAGACTAATCCCCAGCGGCGCCGGCCTCGCAGACACATTCCGCGCGCTGCATCCCTGACCCTCCGCCCTCATCCAGAACCGCTGGATCGCCGAGTACCGCCGGCTGTACGCCCAGGAGCACAGCCAATCGCTCATCCGTGCCTTCCCCGGGGCCGACCAAGTCTTGGAGCACCTGCGACAGCGTAAGGTCCCCGTCGCTATCATTAGCAACAATGGCGTCCAGGCTGTCCGCGGGGCGCTGCGGAATGATGGCCTTGATGTGTATGTGCTCGAGGACCTGATTGTGGGTGATGAGACGCCCGGTGCAACGAGGAAGCCTGATGTTGGGAGTTTAACGGACGTGCTGGTGCCGAAGATGCGTGATGCTGGGCTGGCTGATGCGGTTGTTGATGCGTCTGAGGTGGTGGTGGTTGGGGACACGGTTGCTGATATCCAGTTTACTCGTAATGTTGGGGCTACGGCGTGCTGGGCGCGGTATGGGTATGGTGAGCGGGTTCAGTGCGAGGAGCTGAGACCGGATTTCACGATTGACAAGCTCATCGATGTGATGACGATCATCTAGGGGGTAGCGGTTCTTGTTAGTGATTTCACGCCACCCGATGTGCGAGACCAAGAAACTAATAGGAAAGAAATGAGACGGGACTCGTAAAATTCGTAACCAAATAAGACATGGGAGTTGCCGTGAAGCAAGTGGAATCTAGAATCCAGTCCGCTCCCATGTCAATTGACTTGGTCCGCTTGTCATTTCTTCGATAACATGATAGCACCAGAGCCAGAAGAGGAGCGGACATGTTCCGTTACCATTTAGCCTTCCCTCCCTGATTCCGAACACCAATGCAGTCCCCAGGGATCGTATACGCAACGTTCCAGTGCGCGAGTATACTGACTTGCGAGTCTGCCCCTTGACTGTCGTCAACTAAACCTATGGAGATTGGACGGTGGTAAAGACACATTATTTTGGTCTGACCCAATCAGTCCCCCGTCCCAAGCCGGGTGGCGCTTAAAAATTGTCAGCACCCAAGGGCGCTTGTGAAACTTGGTGGCTCTGGTGGATAAAATAAAGCAGAGAGGTCTTGTGTCGCGGGACTTTTCAGCTCGCTGTAAGTTTTACAACAAGCCGATTGATGTTTGCTCTACTTGCAACTTTCGTTGAAAGAGAAAATGTCAAGACTAGGCCTAATGTACAGCCCTCCACCTTATTAGATAGTAGTATCCGCCTGGACAGCAGAATTCTTTAGGAGATACGACGAGACTGTCGAATTGTGACACAGGCCGGAGAGCCAGTAAGATACATCCAAAGCAATGCTGTCAGACATGCACGCAGAACCAATCGCGTCAACCTCATAGGCGGAACCGGACTCACAAGTGACCTTCATGCAGGTCGGGTTAACGTCTGACCGGAGTTGCAGAAGCGCCTGTTTGTTGGGCGGGGTGCCGGATCAGGCTGCATCGCGAGTTCTCGAATTTCACAAACGGCATCGGCATTCGGAGCGCGACCTTCGTCGAGGTTCTTCAGGCCTGGATAGCGCACGATGAATCAGCTCCAGCATCGGCGTACATCTGAGCCCGCTGACCGTGCTCTACTCCTGGATCCGCGAGCGCATTTTCGTACTAGTTCAGGTGACACCACGGTCGCGCCTTTCTCAAATTCTGGCAATGTTTCTAGTATGTCTTCGGGCCTCGCATGGGGTGGGAATAGCAACCCCTACTCTCACTGGTATATCAACAGTGTCCAACAGCAGTTCGTCCCTGTCCAGCGTGCATATGTGTCTCCCAAAGACTAATAATCTTGAATCCAGGTCGTTCAATCCGGCGAAGGACGCATATGATAAAGCGGTCGAAATTCTACGAAAAGAGCTCACAGCAGCCGAGCGTCAACTAATACGGCTAGGAGAACATAACTCGATTCAAGATGTCAGATTGGCTCTTGACAAAGCTTTGGAAGAATACCAAAAGAAAATGAAGGGTTCCAAGGTCCGAGACTGGCTGGCGAAATGCTCGTCTAGAGTGATGTACTATGGGGGTAAGCCTATGCTACTTTTTCGCCGAATTCTCCGGGAACCAAGCTTATCATGCGGCAGCGGTGTTCGACACATTCTCGCAACATCATCCTGAATACGTATCTCTAGCATGGGGTGCCTTCAAGTTTCTATTTATTGTGAGTATTCCTGGTCTTGGTACCTGTACCGGCTCTTGGCTAACCTGCCGAGGCGGTTCTCAACTACGAGGAGCTGCTTGTGGAGGTTTCAAAGGCTGTTTCCCGAATTGCAGACGTGCTGCGCCGAACCGAGCTACACTCGCTACTCTATTCCACCCCCCGCATGCAAGAAACCGTAGCCCAGCTCTATGCAAAGATATTGGAGTTCTCAATTATGGCCATCAGGTTCTACAAGAAGGGGAAATTATCACATTCTATAGCCTCCATTGTCAAGCCTTTCAGCTTAACTTTCAAACCGATCATCGAAGAAATCAGGGAGAGATCAGTACGCGTAGATGAGCTTGCTATTGCGCTCTCTAAGGCCGAGATCAGAGATCTTCACATCAAAATGCATGGGCTGAGCCACTCAGTGGCACAACTGACTGAAATGGTGGCTTGTAAGTTGCAACAATATCAACACAAGAACGCTAGGTTTCGACAACTGCTGATTTCTACCAGTGCAAAGCCAATCACTCCTCTCTTTTCAAATACAGCACCAGAAAATGTTTCAAAACACGCAGATAGACGCCATAAGATCAGCTATACTGATTGCCGACACTCCAGTAGCAGCTGATAGCCTAAACTGGTGTCGGTCTATGCGTAACCGTCGTCGGCAGAAGTCTTTCACCCAGGTACCTTCACAGGAGCTATTCAAGCTCAAGATCTGGGTCTCCGACTCAAGTTCCTCCTTGTTACTCGCACAGGGTAGAGGTGTCACTACGAGTGCGCTCGACTTCGCCGCAGACTTTATCAACATCGTCATTGATTATGACTACCCAGTCATATGGGCTCTCCCATCAATCGTTATTGATTCCATTAATGAAACAGTGCCAGTGTCGATGTCTGGAGTTCTCAAATCGCTTATAAACCAGATTTTGACAGCCAACCCGGACCTTGTTGTTGAAGGCATCAACCCCCTCACAGCTCATCATTTCAAAAGCGATGTGACAATCAAAAAATGGTTTGATATCTTTGATCGATGTATTGCAGGCACTTCACGCTTATTTGTTGTAATTGATATGAGCCTCATTGAAACGGCGTCGCAACATGAAGAGGCGGAAACCCAGTCCTTCGGTACGGATGAGTTCATTGAGCAGATGGTGGCTGTAGTGTCAAGAAAGGTAACCGGAGGCCCTAAGGTTGTTGTTGCTTCGGGGAGACTTCAACCTTTCACCAATCTGGACACTGAGGAAGTTTTCAAGGGAAACCATGTACATACTGACAGGGGACGGCGCGTGGAGATGATGATGAAACAACCTAGGTTCCGAGCGGCAGACAGAGGGAAACAACGACAGATTACGGCTAGATTTAGATCTAGTCTGGTCTGAAACGTCTTGATGAATGACGGAACTATCAATTCCCAGCAGTCATAGATACCTAGCTATCTAGCGACTTAGTTGCGCGAAAGTTGAAGTTCGGACAAATCAAGGAAAGGGGCGCAGGCTGCAGGAATAAGTGACCAGCGTTTAGGGCATTAAATGCGAGCCTTGCTGTGCCACGCCATGCTGAATACGACGTGGACGTCTTCCGCCCAATCGTTGAAATGTTGATATGCAGGTGGCCTCATGTAGCTGTCACGTGCATAAGATCGACTGATAGCGATTTACGGGAGTAAGATCTCTGTGCCGCATTTCATCATGAGCAAGCTGCCTTTTGGCATTTCGCATGTTTGCCTGATCCGGTGATCAAGGTCTGCTACCCGAAGCTATCGAACTTTTCAAACGTACCTATGGTGGTTTAGTAACCTACAAAATTCGTCGTTCCCACATCATGCATTCTTGCATCATTCTTCATTCGAATCCGTCAACAGGAAGGAAACCCCGCACGCGTGGACAAGACGAGCTTCAGACCTCGGCATATTCTTGCTGTGGCGAGTGTGTACCGACCAAGTCTTACCGCCAGAAAGATAGGCACACGACATGATCAACAATTTTCAGCATGAGTGAGCGTTTTCCAGTCGGGCCTGGGGGCCCCGACTCAGACACCGACGACACGGCCTCGGAAGGGGAGAACAGCAGCAAACTGTTCATGAACGAAACCATTTCGCGTGACGTCAACATGGCGAAAGAGGAGGAAGGCTTACTTTTCAGCCTGAATTCAAAGTTTGATTCTTCGAGTGAGCATGATGAATAATCTGTGATAATGTTATCGTCTCCCTGTTAACGGAACAAGAAGCTCTGCGATTGAATAGTTCGCATGAACCCGATCAGCCGGAACCTCAGAGCCAACAACAAAGGCCATTGACAGTTTCCAGGAAATTGTCTAGTTCCCCCCAAGGAATTCCTCCTGGGCCGGGTGCAGTACCACCAGCAATGATAATCAAGAGACCGGGACAGCCAGTCACACCTGCTAGGCCGATATACGGGATGCCATCAGGACACATGTTTCCACCGGGAATGGTGCCCCCGGGTGGAAGACTGCCTCCACCGCCACCACCTCCAAGGTTATCAAAGATCCCAAACTCACGCAGGCCACCAGTTTGGACTGTGCCTCCTGGGTATAAAAAGAAAAGACAGCGAGGCACCTACTCGAGTTCGAAATCATCACGAAGCTCCGAATGGCGAAGAAAGTTGCAGGGAAGTCGGGAACCCAATCTTGATCACAGGCTCCGAGATTCAAGCGCAGAACACTTGCTTCTTCCTGCTAAAGATGCTGTAAGCAATGTCCAAGGAAACGGGGGTGATACCAGGGAACCCTCAGTCGTCAATCATCAGATACTAGTCGAAGCAGGTTCCTTGGCAGAGTCGCTCAGCACTCTTGCGGAGCAACACCTCAACATCGATATTCTGGACCAGTCCAAAGATGTTTCAAACTTCATATCTTACCTTCTCGACACAATTCAGATACTGGAAGCTGAAGTCAATTACAAAGAAGCTGACTCTGAGAGCAACGCCAGCGGGAGTGATTCTGACGAAGAGAACGTCCCAGGCGCGCCCGCTCTTCCGTGCTTCCAGACGTTTCACCGGATTTATTGCACCAATCTTAGCCACAGTCACAACAGATCCGTTTCCGAAGACGAACCAATTGCCAAGAAGAAGTCTGCATCAAGTCTTACGACGAGGCTCGAAGTTGCGAAAAAGATTGATGATTTTGAATCCTATCTATCCAAACATCCAGAGGTCAGTTTCGTCATCATCAAAGAACATACGTGTGTTAAGGATTCAGGTCTAGACGTATTTCAGCGGCGACTCGAGGCACTAGAAAAGCCATCCCAGAGATCTGAACGATTGGCAATTCTATCACCAATACTCCGAAAAGCACTTAACCAAATCGCTCAGTATAGCCTTGAGAGCAGTCACGATATCGTCGAAGACGAGATAGGAATGGATGCTCCGTATCCGTTTCTCTTTCATCATAGAGAAAGGCTTGTCGAGCTTGCCGATGACCATGCATACGGGCCGGTTCTGGCGCCATTACTGAAGTTTTTAGACGACAATTACAACGATGAATATGAAGAAGCAGTCAGGATGTTCGATCAGGGGGTTGTCAACGCCCGTCATCTGCCGAAGCTTTTCCAGCCACATCAATTGGTTATTTTGAATACCTCCGACAACTTTGACGTTTATGCGTTGGATGAAGCTCCGGTAATTTCGAGGGAATTGATCTCCTTCTCAGGATGGTCATATTGCTATGCTGAAGTTGACTTACAACAGAAGTCGTGGAGCACAATGGTGAGTTCAGTTGGCAGTGAAGACGTCAACATAGCAGACCTCAAGGTTCATCCTGTCCGCTTTGGAAGAAAGGAAGACCTTGAGAAGTTGACTAGAAGAGGCCAAGCATTTTGGGGAATGAAAGGGCGACACTACACATGCTATACTGGGTGGGATCATCGACATGACCATTTCTACGTAGGTTATCCATTCCCATTTATGTCGACAAAAGAGTTCCATGTGGTTCTCCGCTAAAACTGTCTAGAGCTCAGCTAGATTCATGGTAGATTTGGCTACTCATAAGCTAATGCATCCGTCCAAAAAGTCGGAAACCTCACTTTCGAATGACCATTCAAAGAACCACCCCTGGCCTGCAAAGATCAAATGGGAAGACAAGATAACAGCCGAGACAATGCTTCTTCTACCTTCAACTGTGTACGGTTTCAATCTGCAAGAGAAGAAATGGGGTACGAGAAACCTTGATACAGAGAATGCGCCAAGGTGTGTCTCATTCATATGCTAATGAGTGCGCAGTGGACCTAGACGTGGATAAGTTTCACCCGATCACATGGAACAAGGACGCCTTCAAGCGTCTTGTGCTTGAGGAAAAGACGAAAGAGATGGTATATGCTCTAGTAGACATCCAAACGGCAACCAAAAAGATGGATGACATCATTACCGGCAAGGGCAACGGCTTAATAGTACTTCTCCATGGCAGCCCAGGCACAGGGAAAACTTTGACAGCTGAGAGGTGAGACATTCGATTTGGACAAGGAGTTCACTCTTACTTAAGCTCGCCCAGTGTCGCCGAAATTGCAGAGAAGCCTCTGTACCGTGTTACCTGTGGAGACATCGGTACTCAAGCTCAAGATGTTGAGAAGTATCTCGCTACGGTTTTATACCTGGGAAAGCTATGGGACTGCGGTACGTGAGCTATAACATCCACAGCTATGAATGAATGCTGATACTTTACAGTTCTCCTTCTTGACGAAGCCGATGTTTTCTTGGAAGAAAGAACCTTTGCCGACTTGCAAAGAAACAGCTTGGTCTCAGGTAAGTATAAAACTCCAATCGCAAACCGTTTACTCTCATTTTTGCAGTGTCTAATAATCCGATGATATGTAGTCTTTCTACGAATATTGGAGTACTACGAAGGTATCCTCATCCTCACGTCTAACCGCGTCAGCCACTTCGACGAGGCCTTCAAGTCGCGTATCCAGGTGGCAATCCATTACGACAATCTCTCCAAGAGATCACGCAAAGCCATCTGGCAAAACTTCCTGGACATGATTGAGGAATCTACTGATGAAGATGCGAACATCGCCGAGCTTGAAGAACATTTGGATCAGCTAGCCTCAGAAGAGATGAGCGGCAGGCAGATTCGCAATGCTTTACTTACGGCAAGGCAATTGGCCAAGCACCGGAAAGAACGACTTCAATGGGTGCACTTGGATCAAGTGATGAAGACCTCGGCAGCTTTCAACAAGTATCTGAAGACGGTTCGTGGACAGAGCGACGACAAGATAGCACGGGAGGAGGGGCGGCGATGAACGCACAGAACATACAAGGTCGCGATTCTTGGCTTTTCCTTTCCTTTACTCTTTGAATTGTGCGGAAGATAAACGAGTAATCCAGCAATTTTCATCCACTCCTTAATCCAAGTTAAATGCGGAAAGATAGAGCAGATCATCATTCAGGTTCTCAAGTGTTTCGTCGCTCAATAGCGTAGATCACAGCACACAGCTCTGCCCAAGTGACATAGAATCAGGACCTGCGGCGGGCCTCAACCCAGAGACTAGAGTTGCCTCAAAGACGCCAATACAAAATTGAGAATCGCCAAATGGTGTGACAACAACCGTGGATCTGCGTGGAACCCACGCCGATGGAAAAAAGTCACGTTCGATGACGGTGATCGGTTGCTATTCGTTTTGAAGAACAGGGTTTTTGTTACCTGCCCTTCAATCTTTCCACTTGTTTACTTCAAGGATACTCGACTGCCACAGTCCATCAAAAGTATTGAGCAAAGCAATTCACTATGTACAAGAATCAAAAGTTTCAGTCATCCCTGTCACAAATAGCCTCGTCCCGGCAGCCACCTCAACTACAACCCATCGGCATTGAGCCATTGGACCCTTTACTGGTGAACAAGCAGCGCGGCCTCCTGCAGAGGCGCAAGCAAGGCGTACGCCAGGGCGTTGTAGAAGAGCACGTTGCCGCCGTTCTGGCCGAACTGCCCAGTCGCCGCGTCTTTGGTAAAGAACTCGCCCGAGCGGTAGTCGCCGATGCCCTGCAGCGTGACGAGGGTGCCGTAGCCGTCCTCGTCCGTGAGGCTGTAGAGGTGGTAGCCGATGGTCTTGTCAGGGTTGAGGTAGGCCGTGGCGTTGAGGTAGTACTCGTTGATCACGGAGGCGGAGATTTGCACGGCGCCGGGCTGGACGATTCCCCTGATAGCGGAGGTTAGTGACTTATTGTCGTGGCTTCTTTTCTGTTCAAAGGGTATGTTCTGGCGGATGGGCCGGTTGGGCAGAGAGGGGCTGAGACTTACTCTATGACGGGGACGTTTGTGGAGACGACTTTGTTGGTGTCGACGGTGACGACAGCGGAGAGCGTTCGGCGGTCGATGGTGCTGGCTGCGCTGAGGAGCGGCAGGGCGAAGAGGGCGGCGATGGAAGTGAACTTCATGGTTGCGCCGAGTTTCAAAGGGTAGATCAAATGACTAGACTCTATACTCTGAATAGTCGTGACTGAAGATGTGACCGATTTCCCAAGAAAAGGTTGAAGCAACACGCAGCTATTTATCCAAACTTGGCCCCCCGTGTCTGTTCATCACACAATGCGTCGTGGGTTGTTGCGCCACTTCGGCCTTTCCGCACATATGTAGAAGGTTGCATTGAGCCTGCATCATGGGAACCTTTCGGAACCAAAAATCTCATTCAGAGTTGGAGGTAATATCTACGGTGGTTGTTATTCGCTGCCGCTTCACGATGCATCACAAGCCTTCCCTGCCTCCTCTCGGAAGAGTCGTTCATCATCACATCTGGTCCTCCTCGAAGGCTACTGAAGTATGCGCCAAGACAATTCTTCATTTGTTTAAAGTGAAGTGGTACATAGCCGAGCTTCTTCTGGCAGCTCGGGGGAGAGCGCGGGCCGGCAACTCTCGACACGGCATCGTCCCATCAGAAGCCGTAGTCAAGGATCCTGCATGTCACAATATTACATTAGCATTATGTCTTTCTGCTATAACGAGGAATTGGGGAATCCGGAATTTTTTTACTCCCAGACTCGTCGGTATTCTGGTCGTAGAGTTACATGTAATCTTGCTACTCCTGATTTTGGGGAGGCGGACATTTCCCAACACAGACGTGCACTTTCCAGATTCAACATCCAACTCCCCGCAAGGCCCGCAGGAGGACGTGCGTGCCGCGCGCTACCCGAGAGAATCACGGAATCTCGTCGATCTTTGCTCATGGATACTTGTTCCGGGCACGCCTCCCGATGCAGGCAGGGCCATTGTGATTCGATGCTGGGTTGTTTGTTTATCAATCAGTGCCAGTGGAGCTGGCAGGTCGTCTGATGGTAGACTTTGGATCTCGTGTTCATCTGATTATGCTCTGTGATCGAGATCGATAGCTAAGTGTCTCATCCATTCCCGCCGTTGCAGGGATTGACGCCCGGCAAAATGGTCATCATCCAATCCATCCCTACTTACATCATAAGGATGAGTATCTTCAAAAGTCTCGCGACTCGAGTAGAACGCCTCTAGCCGTGGCGATGGGTATCATTCGTGTACGTGAACCAAAACGCCTAAATCTGCCGCCCCCCAGTCTCATAGCGCATCCCAGTTCTTTCACCCTTCCCTTTCCCCTGCCCCTCCTTTTACCTTTGTCCCTTCCGGGCCATCATCAACCCCCGCGTCTTTAAGTCATCATTCCTTGATGCATTACACATAACCCATTACACATGATCATGAAATACCCCTCGTCTCTAATATCTTACTCAACTCCTTCAGCCTGACGGGCTTCGTCAAAAACAAATCGATCCCGCTCGCAAACGCCTCCTGCTGCGCGCCCGCGGACGCCAGCCCTGTGAGCGCAAAAATGTTACACCTAGACAATCCATGCGCCTTCTCATGCGCGCGGATGCGCCGCGTCGCCTCGAAGCCGTCCATGACGGGCATCGAGATGTCCATGAGGATGCAGCTGACGCCGCCGGCGTTCTTTTGGAAAAGCTCGACGGCCTGCTTGCCGTCTGTCGCGCTGTCGAAGACGTGGCCCAGCTTTTTTAAGTACGAGGCCAGGATCTTGAGGTTCAGCGGGTTGTCGTCGACGATGATGAGCCGCGGCTTGTCCGGCTTGGGCGTCGTCAGTGTTGCCGCGCCGGGGTGGGGGGCAGGAGCAGCCGACGGCGCTAGGTTCGGCGTCGACGGCGAGACGTCCTTGGACCGGTCGGGCAGGGCGATGCCGTCTATGGGGTTCCCGATCTCTGTCGCCGAGGGCGGGGTTTGATGCAGTTGTTTCTCGATCGGAGGGAACTGCGGCTCGCTGATCTGCGAGTCGGGGGAGAACACGTCGTTGGGGGTGTTCACGTCCGGAAACGCCTCGGTGCTGCTGGCACCGGGACTGCGGGCCATCTTGGCTAAACCCAGCCCCGTCAGTCCGTGGTCGCCGGCCTCCGCAGGGGTGGGTTGATCGGTGGCCAGGGACATGGCCGTGGGTGTAGGGATCACGCCGGCTTGTAGCTTCGTCCACCGCCTGAAGCTCAACAGAAGGACCTTTGCAAGTTTTCTCGGGCCGATACTGAATGCAAAGTATTGTCAGTATCACATTGACAGTTGATACGCGGAGGGGTGGATGGTGGACTTACGGCTGTGAAATAAACTCGAAGACAACGTTTTTGGTTGTGAATCTCGGCGAGAGGGACAGTTGACGCGCGGCGAGGGCATTGCGACAAATGACCACGATTGGAGTGTTGATAGTGCCATGGCGTCGGTCATATAAAAGTTGGTCCAGGTGACGGTCAGTGGAGAGGATGAGATCGGGGTAAAGCGGTTCGGCCGACTGCTCTTCGATAGGGTGCATGTGCAGCCATTCCCTGCAGAGGTGTTCTAGTAGGGCACTTTGGCTGGCAATGGTTCCAGATATACCCTCGAGGTTTTCGACCCCGTAATCGGTTGGGAATCCCAAGAGTCGGACCCGAAGGCCTCTCAGCTCGGCCACTTGCGCCTGGAATTCGTTGAAGCCCGCAGACTTGAGTGGACCAGATGTTGCGGCAGATTGAATGGCACCATGTAGGGGAAGTCGAACGGTAACTCTGGTGCCGAGGTTCAACTTGCTCCAGACGTGAATGCTCCCGCCTAGATTGACAACAATCTGGTGCACCAAGCTTAACCCGAGTCCTGTGCCCGCGGATAGGTTATCCTCCTGCGCGAAAGGGGTAAACAAGTGATTCTGAAGATAGTCTTCCGAAATGCCCTTTCCTGAGTCGGTAATGACGATCTCGACATGAGCGCCTTTTGCATTGTTATTGCCCTTTACAGTGCTCTGGTGCACGTTGATGTTGACAAAGCCGCTGCTTGTGTATTTGAGCGAATTGCCCAGCAGATTCATGATGATCCGCCGTATCGCACCGGGCTGTGTGTGAAACGTCCACGAGGTGGCTGGGCTGATGTCGAAATTGACCGATACGTCTCCGAGGACCAAATGCACGTCTCCGTGTTTTCCGCCGCTCGATGCCATGTCCTCCATCGCCTGCATGCTGTCCAGTCTCGCCATCGCGTTCGGTTCGATGTTATCAGCGGCGCGGCTGTTGACAAGTTGGGCGACAGACATGCGTTGGTAGCTGAAGCCAGCGCAGACGCTGTCGACGACCTCCTCGGCAAGCACGTCGATCTCCACATTGGAGGAGATGCTCATCATGCCCGCCTCGATGTTTGCCTTCTCGTCCCGAACTCTCAGGCCACGGTCGCCAACGCTGCTCCGTCGTCGTTTTGATTGGGATCCAATGAAGTTGTTGATCTTACTCCAGTCCAGGAGATGGTCGATCGTCTCTAGAAGCGTACGGCCGCAGTTTTCCACCGAGACCAACGTCTCGCCCTGGAAGGCATCGAGGGGAGTATCGCGGAGCAGTTCCGTACCGAGGATAATACCATGTAGCGGTGATCGAAGTTCGTGGGATAGTGAGCTCAACAAATCCGTCTTTGCCTTGTCGACTAGTCTAGTGTTTATGCGGTCAACCTCAGACATGACGACAGCGCCGAAAGCACGGAGGTAGCTGAGTTCGCCTTCGATGGTCAGGACCCGCGTCGCGGTCTTTGTGCAAGCGAACCCGCCGGCGAACCAGCGCTGCTTCTTTACGTCCCATAGAGGAACAACTGCTATGCTTCGAGCCCCTGAAAATATTGAGGTAAGCATATTCCCTTCATTCTTGCGTGAGAATGGGTTGCGACCCCTTCGGCGGGATTTGTGAGTTTTATCGTGTGCGTGTGAACTTTCTCGCGCGTGCGCGGACGAAACCACAGCCTCGCTCAGTTCCTGGACAGGAGTCGGTGTCGTCTTCGTGTCGTCGCCCGAGAAGTCACTCGATTGAATGGAACCGTTCTCGTCAAAGTTGAAGATGTTGCCTTCGGGGTATCGCCGCAGCAATTTAATAAGGAACTTTTCTGATATCGATGCGTGACTTTGGGACGGGAGCTTCCCATCGATGCTCGAGGATGACGAGGTGGAAAAGCCGAGGACGCGACATTGAGTGTCTTCCGCGCCAGCGTCACTGCTCGCAGTGCTTCGCGGACTGCCTCTTTCGTCGCTGGAAGACGAGTTTGACTTGGTAGACCCCGACGACCTGTGTCCGCTGGACGAACGAGCGGCGGCCGCCAGGCCTCCAAAAGAACCTATGGTAGCATCCAAGAATAGCACGCTCTCGACTTCGATGGCTTCGCGGATCACGTTTGCTGCTTTTGAGAAGACGTGCTGAATCTGGACTTGCTGAATGTTCTCGCCGCTCGCCCCGGACGTTACAGTCTTCACTGATATCTCCGAAACCGACGGCGCGATCGTCTCTTTTGCAGCGGCTGCTTGCGATGGCGAAGATCGCTTTCTCGGCAGCGGCGAAACTTGCGGGCGTACTGGTGGTGACGGAATGTCGCCCTCCGCGGCCTTTTCCTGCGCGAGCTCTTCCTCCTCTTTCTGTATCTGCTGTTGATTCTGGTTGAGACCACCCTCGAGAGACGGATTATCCTTGAACGAATCTACATTGGGGTTCATCCTCCAGCCGGACATTGTCGTCTTTCCCTCGACAAAGCTGCCCACGCCGCGAACCATTCTATCTGAGCGACGGTGGTTTTCCCTGTTGCTCTTGGTGTCGAGGTATTCCATGGTAATTTGGGAGAGGTCCCGCAGAACGCGCATCGACACAGCGTCGAGTGACTCGCGGGGCGTGTCTCCAAAGACGCAAAAGACGCCGATATTGATGCCCCTATGTGTCCGAATAGGCACCCCGGCATAGAAACGATTTTGCGGCGCATGGCGGCAGAACGGCCGCTGGGCCGCTCTGGGATCCGTCGCCATGTCCGGGATCACCGTCACCGGCAACTCGCTTTCGTTTGGAACATCTTCTGTGACGGGCGACAGAGGGACGGCGAGGGCAATTTCGCATATGCCAGCAGATCGGGGAACTGCGGTGCCGGACAGGAAGAGTTGCTCCACGTCGGACGCATCTAGCTTGACGTTTGGGGTCAGGGCCAGCGAGGGGGTCGCTTCGGCGACGATGTACTGGTACTTGCTGTCGAACAGAGATATCAACGCGCGGGTACCGTTCAGACGCAGCACGCCAAGCTCGGCAAAGGCAGTCAGAGCCGCGTCGGGGGAGGATCGCAGCTCCGACGGCGGGACGATGTTGTTGACATCGTTGTGGTAGGCCTGGGCGATAAGGGAGGGGTCATATCTATGAGGGCATTCAGCACTGTTGGGCGGCGAGCTGGGACACCAGGCGCGCTTGCGCTGTGGAACGGAAGAGGGCCACCACCCCCGCCCCGGGAGGCGATATGGAAGGGCCACTGATGCAGATGGCCGCTCTCGTCGAGGGCAATTACGAAAGGAGAACAACTGACCTGAAAGTCTCCCTTTCGCGGCGGCTCTCAGAGACGTCACGAGCAGTGTAGAAGCTAGCCATGACGGGGAGAGTGTGTGAAGCTCCTCCACGCGCAGCAGTGCACCAGCCTTAAGGAACGTGGTCGAGGGAAGCTGCGCTGCGCTGCGCGGCGGCCAGTGTTGCTGTGCTGGGGAGATCTGGAATACCCAGTGCAAGGGGGGATGGCAAGAAGGGAGAGAGGCCCACCCGCCACAGCGATTGTGCGAAAGGGACTGGAACTGCAGAGGCACGGCGTGCTCGCTTGGGGCGGACCCTACTCCGAATGCGCACCTGTTAACGGGTAGTCTAGTCCAGCCCAGCCAGGCCTAGACCGTCCGATGCTGCTTCACCTCGTTAGCGCGGCGGGGTTGGGGTGGCTTGTACGACTGATAGGGGAGCAGACACGCAGAGGAGAAGCGAGCGCACATCGGTGGCGATGTTCAACGCGGAGCGGAAATGGCGCTCAGCCGAGGCATGTATCGAGGTACCTGTCGCCCAGTTTTTGCTGGTATTCCCCAAAGTCTAATGGGTCTGTGAGATGTATGGAGAGAGACACACAGAGAGGAGAATTCATACGCACCCGGTCGTCTGATTCGATGGTTTGACGACGATTTGCAGAGACGACAGGATGCCATGCAAATCGGCCTGATGAGCGTGTCCAACGGAAGCACGTCAAAAAGGGAGAAATCCGTTCCATCCAAGGAATTTGCCGACTTTCGTATACCCAGGTACTTTGGCTGAACTTTGCTTATTCGGGAACTATGCAGCCAGCCCTGCCTTCGGGCCGTGTTAGGCCGTGTTAGGCCTGCCGGTCGTAGGGTATTTGTCACAAACGTCTCCCAAACCGTCGGTCTTGGATATTGTCGCAATGTTCTACGTACTGCGCAGTAAGGACAGGACTAAGCGCTCTGGCTGTGTTTGTCCGCCACTGAGAGAGAGTGCATATTGCTGATGATTGATCATCCTATCAATCTATCGTACGCGACTTGAATATGTATCATCATCCTTTCCCAATTTTCAACGTCTGATGGAAATATCATTTTGGAGATATGACAGTGTAACGACAGCCAGGGTCTATGGGATTCTCAAAATCCCATCAGATCAAGCCCGAGAGTTTGCTGAGCAGGCTGTGTGTGTGGTTCTTACAGCTGGGACTGTGGGGTTCACTGCTGAACATGCTTCTGGAGAAGCTGGGGATGGTCTTGGTCCAGGTTACCCGACAGTTGGATTTTCTGAAGCACTTGCCCTAAGCTTCATAACTACAGGAGTTGACAGCTATGGTCATGCCGCGAGTGCCAGGCTCTTGGGACCGAAGAGTTCTTTTCAGGGACAACGCTGTGGCACTAGAATCGCACATAGACATTGCCTAGTCCAGATACAATTAAGCCAAGGTCAGTAGCGGGAAGCTTCCATGCCCGGTTAATTATACGGGATTGTGCGGGCGAGTATGCCATTTGGTTTGGTTGCTCTCCGTGTTCCACTCCCACCGCTAGGGGCTGTCGCCCAAAGAGAGGCATAGCAGCGTATGTGGTGATACCTCTTGGTCGACACAGAACCCCGGCCCAAAGTCGCTCAAACATGCAGAAAATTTCGTAAAATGTACCTCCGCCTTGTACAAGCTGCTTTAGCATGGTGGGGATCTGTTCTGGTGGTCAGACAGTGAGAGGCTTTCCTCTGTTGGTATGAAAACAGCAGCGTGGCAGGATGACGGCCATGGGGTCGCAGGCTCAGTTTCCCCTCCTAGAGTCCTACAGCATGTTTCTTCCGCTAACCCAATCGCTCAAAGACTCCCACACCGCCATGCCGTCTTCCCAGGCCAGCTGGATTTCGCCACAACAGCCGTGGGACTCAGCTGACGGGCAGGAGAGGCTGCGAGTTGCGACATGCGGCGTGCCAGAGACGTGCGACTCTGGGTGTCTTTGGAGAGCACGACCAGGCTGCTAGAGAGAGGGGACGCTGACTAGGAATACAAGCGGTAGCCAGGGCGGGCGCGGCTGCCAGTGTGAAAAGTACTGACTCCTGGTTCTGGTTATGGTTTGCCGGCCCCTTCTGTGAGTCTGGACCCCCCAACATGAATCTCCGTTCAGCGCCGAGGCATCCGCATTTTCATGCCGAAGATGGTCCCTCCCGCTCTGAACGGTCCTGATCATCACGAGTATAAGATCACCAAGCACAGATTGTCTCTGGAAAACAAGATCTGGCGAGCGAAAACGTCAGACGCAGATCATGTTCTCGACAGGCCAGACCACAGTAGAGAAAGACGCGGCAAATCCCCACCATTCGGCTGTGGATGCCTATGCCTGCCTGCAGATGGATGGTGAATTCTGTTTCGACGAATCTAGTGCTTTGCGGACTTTACTCCGCTAACACCCCCCTCGAGGGTCCCTCTCGCCTCGGAAGACACTCGAAAGACCAGCTGCTAGCAAATACTTGATAAAAACGGAGGAGACGAACCAACTTACATCATTGCGCCGGAGACGCCCAGAGAAGCTCCGGTCACCCATCAGTTTTGGTGTGCGGCCAATCAGCAGCAGCCGTCGACGCCGGAAGAAGCATCCGCCAATCATAGGCCGCCCTGAGCGACGCTAATGACGTACGGGCTCCTCTCTCGAAACGAGACGTGAATGGCCAGTTCACGTGTTGGGGGACCCTGAGCCCCACTCCCGCCAAGCGGGCAAAGACCCCTGCCCCACACCCCGTTCCAATGTTGGGTACCCTGCGCAAGTCCCTTCCCTTCCTCTTCGCTTCTCCATCGTCTGCTCATTTTTTTACGTGGGAAATGGGGTGAAGTGAATGCGCAATGAGACTGGCCAGCCTGGAGCCAGCCAATCTGCTGCTCTGCTCTTTGCGTCTTGGGGTGGTTGTATTGCTGTGCCCCCTCCTCCCGTTGTCACTCATGTCTGCTGTTGCTAATGTGTGTTTGCTTCCCTGCTTGCCTTCCTTGTCTGTCTGTCTGTGTGGCGATTTACCTAAATAAAAGAAGACTCTGCCCGTGTGTGGTAAACCGGTTTCCCATGCGTCTTCTCGATCTCGATTGCCCATGATACATCATCGAGGATCGATCGAAAAAACCACCTACCGGCCACCGCACAGCACGAATTCGCATCCCCACTCTATCAGACTTCTCTGACATTTCGATCAGGCTGCTTTGCCCATCTTTTGATGCATCCCATTCTCGAGATCGGCCTTTCTGACACCATCGACTTTCCCAAATCCCTATCCCCACAACAGCAGCAACGGCATCAACCTCAGCTGGCCTCCGGCCGCCCTCACCGGCGGACTGTTCGCCTGATGGCCTCCAGCCACTCCAGCCCCATTCGCCCTTCTTCCCCGACTCATGAGCTTTCGCCTCCGCGCAGACGCCGAAGATCCTCTCCCAAGGCGAAGCCGGTCGGGGCCCCCGGCGCTTCTGCCGGTAATGCTGCTCAGCAGGACAACAGCACTGCTTACGGCGAGGATGCCACCCAATCCCGACTGTCCTTGAGACGGTTGAAGCAGGGCGAAGGCCATCAAAGGGTATGTGTCTTTTTCCCTCTCTGTCCGTTTTTGCTTTTACGGGTGTTTGGGCGCTGCTCTGCTGCTGCATTGCCTGTTTTCAGTTGCTGTACAGCCAGAGTAGGCCAGAGTAGGCACACAGCGAATAACAGGGCGTCGCACACTGCAAGTTGAAAAACATGGTTGAAAAAGCAACAATCGAGGGTGCACAAACCAACACAACAGAATTTAGCTAACACAACATTCAAATACAGATTCGCCATGGAGCATCAGAGCTGCTGCGTCTCTCAGAAGACTTCCCCGGCTACCATGGCCAATCTGGAGGGGGCGGCTTCCACTCCGCCCACGACCAAGCCCTCCCCAGCGACAGCGACCTGCGCCACATGGCCCAGCTGTCCCACAACATCGCCAACGACATTTTCGACATCTTCGCCCTGAGGAACGAAGACCCCAGCAGCCAGCACCGACGCGGCGCAGACAGCCGGCGGCATCACCAGTCCCAGACCATCGCGCCCGGCCATGCGAGCTTGATGCGCAAAGGCGGCAAAGGCGATACCGCCGCCGACTTCTACTGCCACAAGTGTCATCGTGTCGATACTCCCCAGTGGCGGCTCGGCCCAGACGGACCCATGACATTGTGCAATGTGTGCGGTTTGGTTTACGCCAAGAGACAGCAGAATCTGGATGATTTGACGATGCCTGGTTCCCCCAGCATGAACAGGCACTGCCGGCAGGACGAGTCGTCGTGAAAAGAGATGTTGTGACTAAGTCTCTCGACCGTAGTGTGTGTATGTTTCTGCCACGAATATCTAATGTCTAGCGAAAGCGTTTTTTTCACGAGAGTTAATCATTGTGTAATTGACGCGGCGCAAGGAAATGTTTTGGGAGTTATTGGGAGTAAGCTATGAAGGGCTGGAGGCATCTTGAATATACCCGGCAAGACTGCCATTTTTAGTTCTTCGTTTTATATCTCTACGTAATTGCAGCGCATATGATACCTCGCACAAGTCTGGAATTCCATCGTGATCGTAGACTGAGATTGTGAAGAAGAGCCTAAAGCCGTTGACCGAACTGTACCCATGCAGAGACAAAGCTGATATTACCCAGAGATGTGCTCGCACTTGCGGGCTTACGGGGGCGGGACTTTGGCATTCAGTATGAGTCCAAGCACCCGTTTCACGCACTCTCTGCAGTCCATGCTCCCAACCAAACTTAGACATCAACATAGGAAAGTCTGGGACCCTGGGCCGCCGGCTGGATAAGTGGCAGCCACCGGTGATTGGGTCGTCAAGGAGTGAAAATCCCTCAGTATGGAAAATCACAGTCCCTTCCGTTCAGCGGCGTCAGACTCAAGGGAGTGGCCCAAACAGCATTCGGCCTTCAGCCCTTTCTCGCGCACGTGGCTGGGGAGGGAAAGCGAGATGGAAACCCTTTTTCCAAAACTCAGATGTTTTTCCAGCCCCAGAAAAGCAAACAGAGTTGTCAGATATGCAGCGAGAAAAAACGTGCAACCACTGTTCAGGAATCTGCTGTTGGCGCGGTGGCGAAGAAAGGGGGTGTGTGCGTGTTGCGGCGTGCCGGCGGCGTGTGGCGCGGCAGACGACCGGTGGAACGAACCTCAACAGTCCATCACAATCACTCCCTTCCGGTAACACAGTATATAGACGGTATTGCAGAGATCATCTGCCATCTTCACGATCTCAGGCGGTTGTACACAGACTTGATATCGTGATTGTTGTGCCATCGGAAGCATGAGAGAAAAGCCTTCTGTGCGGCGTCGGTGGAGTCCACTGTGACCTGTTCCCTAAAGACAGTTGGTCTTCGCACTTCTGAGGACCTCTGGAAGAACTCCTTGAGATATCGAGTCAGAAACTGGTGTTCATAGCTGCCGAGCGGCACTACAGAACATGTTGGGTGCCTATCTTGTCCTGTAAGCTCGATCATCTTCCGTGGGGAAGCATGAAGCCGCTGTTGTGTCCGGCACAATCCCCCCTTCCGCGAGACCCAGCCCAACAAACTCCGCTGTAGACAGACCTTATCCCTTCTCCTCACTGCCGGCAGTCAGTAACAGGGCCCAAATGCTACCATCAGCCCCAATTCATCCCCTCGAATCCCCATACTCTTGCTCGCGTTGTTTGCACCCAGTCCAATTTTCTCTCCTGGACCCCCGAAGCTTCCGTCACGTGCGGCCCCTTGTCGTGACCACAAGTGGTAAGCGTTCCGGAGTGCATACGACCCACAGTCATCAACACCATACGATTCAGCTGCTTTCTCGCGAGAAAGTATTCCATTAGCCTCAAAATACCTTGTTTGACAAGATGCTACGTCCATGATCTCTTCCTTGACCGGCCGAGAGTTGGTCTAACTCCGGTCAAGTCCATCATGTCGCTCCACGGGGTATCAAGGAAGACTCTGTCGGTTTGATTCTTGAACAAAGTCGACAACAATGGCATCGTTAAAAGGTACCGACGCGCCCAAAGAGCCTCTTGAAGGACTGGTCAAGGTATCACGGGCTTGAACCACCTCGACATCCCCACAGCCGGATAGTCTGCCTCCTCGACTTGATACGATTCCACAATAACGACAACAACTCCAAACGACACGATGAAAGCCCTCGTCCTATCCCCCTCCGAAAGCTCCGTCTCTGTCAGAAATATTCCGAAACCATCTCCAGGTCCTCGAGAGATCCTTATCAAGATCTACGCCGTCGCTCTAAACCACGTTGACGCGCTCTACGCCAAAAACCCCATCGCTGCCCAAGACGACCGCGTCATTGGCAGCGACTTTTCAGGAGAGGTTGTGCAACTCGGCGAGGGCCTTGACGTTGTCGATGACGCCCGAGCAAAGATTGGAACTCGCGTAGCCGGGTTTGTCCAAGGAGGTAAGGATTCAAACACCATCGCGTCATGTACCCAGTCACAACCCAATCCCTATCATCTTCTTCCTACCCACAAAGCACACGCTGTGACTATATCTTCCGTGGCTGTAGCAGCCCAAAACCTTGTACAAACACCTCGCAACACTTCGCCGCGCTTCCTCGCCTTCGGGTGTCCTTCACTAGCTAACAGCAGCAACAAACAGCCTGCTCCGTCAATCTCCGCCCGGGCGCCTTTACAGAATATCTCGCCGTCGAGTACGACCTAACGTGGCACATCCCGACGACATTGTCCTTCGAAAGCGCGGCGACAACCAGTCTTTGCGGTCTGACGGCTGCCCAAGGCGTCTTCGCCCGCCTGCAACTCCCGTGCCCATTCTTCAACACTAGAGGTTTCTCGGGCCTCGGCCTCGGTGACGACAGCATCGTCAACGTCTTCATATATGGCGCGACATCTTCCCTCGGCCTGTACGCCGCGCAACTCGTCCGCGCGTCTGAAAAGACCTCCGGCCGCACGATGCGGCTCATCGGCGCGGCCAGCGCCTCGAAGCACGCCATGTTGAGGCAGGGACCGTACGCCTACGACGTTCTAGTCGACTACTGTGATGTCGACTGGGTCGAGCAAGTGCGTCGTGCGGCCCGGGGAGGGGTGCAATACGCCATCGACGCCATATCCAAAAGCCCGTCGGTTGAGCAGGTCGAACAAACACTAGCAGAGGACGGTCAGTTCGCCGTGTTCCGGAGCCCTGCCCTGGGCGGATTCGACGTCTCCAGGATGCGGTTCAAGCCTCTGATCGGAGCTGTCTGGGAGGGGTTGGGAGTCGAGACATTGTACCAAGGCAAGTCATCGTTGGCCCCCTTTTGACTAACGCATCGACGTGAGACACCGTCGCTAATTCCGGTTCGTCTGATTCTAGGCGCTACTCTCCCTGCGAACCCCCACGCGAGACGATTCACGGCCGAGTTTTATAACTACATGGGCTCTGCAGCCTCTTCTGGAGTTGTCAAGGTGCAGCCGAACCCTGTGCGCCTGATGCCGGGCGGTTTGGAGAGGATCGCTTTGGAAGGGTTTGCGTTGTTGACTGGTGCCGGAGGGGAACGGCCCGTTAGCGCCGAGAAGATTGTGCACACCATCTCTTGAGGATCCCCGTCCTGGACCTCAAGGCAACGCGGTGTCTCTCCTTGCAGCATGTCGGTGCATCATCGAACGCTTGGTGAATGTCAGCGCCATCCGCGGTATCTCAAACGTACGAAGTTCTTATAGAAAGCAGGTACCATTGATTGGACAGAAACCTCCCAAGATCATCTAAGATACAAAATAATTGTGTGCATAGAGACTGCACGCGTCTAGGGGAGATAAGAAGGCCAGCAAAGAAAGTACAATCACCGAGTACCATTGCTCAAGCTTGTCGATTACAAACTTGCTCAGGAAATGGTCTGCTATTTAACGCCGAACGCCACGCCGACCTTCTCAGTTGACAAGTGTTGCTTCAGGTTCGTCTGAACTTTGCTAATAGTTTTTAAATTGTTATTCAATGAAGACCTGTAGCTAGCCCGCAGCCCGTGTAGCTAAGGTATTGTAACACTCCACCAACAGTCTTATCACTTATCCATCGTTACCAATACGATGTGCCTGGAGCTGAGAAAAATATGGTCGCCGCTAATAGTGTGAATCCAACGTCCGTAGATACTTTTTCTATACAGGGACTGATAAATGCTAGAAACTGTTGTCGTCATCTTAATATTTATTGGCGATGATCCACGATCTCCCCGTCTTCAAGCCTCACGTCCGGTACCTTGTCAACCAGGGATTATTGATGTAAGCGGTGAAATTTATCAATTCTAATTGAAGGGGTAGTGCGCGTGACACATTCTCTAAGCTTAGCCATATTTCTCAGCTATGATTACCTACACTTCTTTGGGCAGCATATCTTTGTCCCCGTTCCTTTCAGCTACCAAGATAGAGACACTAAGCGGAGCTCAGAGTGCCCATGTACGTTCATATTCAACGCCCACAAGCAACAAGTAAAGATTGAGGGAGAACCGGGTGCGCGTGGCTACCTAATTATAATCGGCGATCGAGTCACTGCATAGACACTCGTGGACGCGTTAGGAACTTCATAAAGAATGTCTTGGTCAGTCTGAAGAATAGACACAAAGGAACGGCGGCAGATCAGCTTATGCGAACACAGCTTCTCCCGGCTGACATCCTCTCTCACTCATACTCAGTAAGATTCAAGATTGCGAAGGCGGTGGATGTGAGGTTAGAGAAGAGCATGTTGAAAAGTATACTGAGGAGACATCTGTTAGTAATCCACAAAATAATAGGTAAATTGTCCAGAACAACCTGAAGTGAAATACAGATTCGAGTATTGAAGGGAGCTTGGCTATCATTTGTAGTGAAATGCCATCGACGGAAACTGCTATTCTCTTTATGGCTGGATTTAAACGTCCCTCTTAAGTTAGCATCTGATTGCAGGATGAATCTACGTGAAGCATCACTGAAGGCTTTCTGAGGTGCTCCCACGTATTCTTCAAAATAAGCTAGTAAAGCATTACAACACACTTACTTAATACAACTAGATGGGCAGAGCCCAAAAGGCCATGTAACGGTGTCCATGTCCAGGAAGATTTTGCTTCCAGTTTAGACACATTATCATATCCTTTTGACACAACAGGTTCCAGCTTACACGGTAAGTTGCCAATGAAGTTACGCCATATGCAGACGAATCCTACTTAGCTCCTGTCCTGATGCCCTCCACTAGACCAGTCTTTGTTCGTTAACTGTGACGTTGATTGGCATGCTGCGACTAAGGAAAAGCAGCTGTTTCAGAAACCATGACACAATCAAGATGTTGATCATGAGTCCTTTCGGGAAGATGACCAAGCCACAAGAAACGAAAATCTAATAGGTTAGCGACTGCTCATGTTTGACAGATTAGTACCGCTCACGTGGAACCTTCCATTTAATGAAGCCTAGGAAACATTGCGCGGCTGCTTCAGATTGCAGGAAAGCTACATATTTTCCTCGAATTTCCAACCCGCTTCACATGCATTCATGCTGCCTTTATTCAGCCGCAGGAACCACGAGAGGTCCAAGTGGGGAGATTCAGCTGCGTCCGTTCTAGGCTATAGCCCGCTTGCGGCTATGTGGAGGTCATCTCACCAAGCGGGGCTCAGCCCCGTTACTCCCCTTGGTGTAGTTGGTTCATCACGTTCGACTGTAATGGTGTTGTATCCACATCCATCGAAAGGTCTCTAGTTCGATTCTGGAAGGGGAGAACCACATGTCTTTTTGCAGTCGTTTGCCTTGAATGATTCTGGGTTGCGCTGTCTGAAAGTGACGCTGAATAACGGGACAATAACGCAGTGGGGCAGGCATTAGCTAAACGGCTTTTAGTTCTATCTTTTTCTTTATATGTCAGACTACTGGACGTATTGATCTTTTGTTATAGCATTCCACGAGTTGAAGTTCTGAGGTCTATTAAAACGCTTCGTGGTCTTGTAAACAAATACCCTCTAGTAGTTCTACCTGCACGTAGCATAGTTCAGTCTCGAAAGACCAGTCGCATTTAACGCGGACTTAATTCCTGGAGCTAAATTTATTAGATGTACTTATCTAGCCACTTGTCACTCAGGCTGCTGATACTTCCTAATAGACTAAGAGCCTGGAAGAGAAATACAGGCTGCTCGTTAAGTAGCTCCTAGAATCTAGCTCAACAGGCCCTCTTCCTATGACAAATAACTGAGTGAAACTATGTCACCCTACATGCAGACCTCTGCAAAGACGTTCATAAAGTGTGCGGACATGGGACCATGTTTATGTGTCAGGCGGCCGTGATAGATCTGTTAGATCTGTGATGAATGAAATTCTGTCGTCAGTCCAGAGACGCAAAAAGGCAAATCAACGTGTCTGAATATCAAGTCTTTTTTGGTTGGCTTTCCTTAGCACTGGCCAAACATCAGGGATCAAGAACTCGCCGCTAATGTACCAGTAGGGCGCTGCGCTGATCCTTGTCAGGGGCGCATGTCTGCACGGCAACATCGAGGCCAGGGAAAGCAATTCTCGCATTCATGTCGCCGGATCTCACGTAAGACGAATATGGAAAGCCAGCTGGGCCACAGTTTACCGACTCGGGATATTCAAGCGAGAGCTGGTAAGGCTTAGGAAGGATATCTGCATATCCAAGGAACCAATCAGACTCTCATACCAGGCAAGTATCCCGTCTTGGCATTCATTTAGTAAGACTACGTGCCTGGCGCCAAACACACCGACGAATAGCTTGAATCGATCATGACTTGGAACACAGAGCCCTTGCAGCAATGACGAAGATCTTCTCCGTCAGAGGGCATTCAAATATGTCTCCCGACACCTAAGATTTCAACTCCGATCGCTCTTTCCTAGCGTAACTCCCTCTCTCTCACGGCGCGAGGAAGGCAAATATGCGACACCTTTTCGGCCAACCCCTCAGCGGCTGGCGCGTGTCGGCCCTGACCTTTGTCTGCGCAATATGGACACTGACTCTCATCCTCTGGGTTCTCCTCGCCGTCACCCGGGCCCGCGGGTCATCAGACTCACTCGTCTTCAACATTTCGAAGATCTTTGAGGGCGACTGCGACTCGGCGCGTGTGCGTTTGATGGCCCTCAAAGCATTCGTCAACGCTTTCTCCACCTTGATTCTCATTTCGTCAAACTACTTCATGCAGATGCTGGCCGCCCCGACGCGGGCGGATATCGACGTCGCGCACCGCCGCTCCCGGTGGATGGACGTGGGAATTCCCTCCATGCGCAACCTGCGCTTCGTGTCGCCGTGGCGCGGCGTATTATGGAGTCTGTTTGCGTTGAGCTCCGTGCCGTTTCACCTGCTCTTCAACGCTTGCGTTTTCGGTTCGACTACAAGCACGGAGTGGGTGACGGCTGTTGCGTCGGAAGGGTTCCTCGAGGGTCGGGAGTACTACCTTCCCGGCATCGGCGTGGGCCCTGACCCTAGGCCCGCTATCCAAGCGTACAGTGATGTTGTCCCGGGCGAGGTGCAGTATATGGCCGCCAACGCGAAGTCCTGGGAGCGTCTCACTGGGAAGGAGTGTCTGGAGGCGTACAGCGTGTGGATCAATGTGCGCAGTAGGAGACACATGGTGGCAGTGGTGGAAGCGGACAACAACGGCAAAGGATGGACTACGGCAGAGAAGTCTCAGGCATGGGAGGCTGAAATGCTGAATAACACGGTCTACAGTCTATGGTACGCTGGCTTCTATGGCTTCCACTCTGGTAACAACAGATTCACAGGCTCCGGCTTGGCCACGGGCATGACCATAAAATGGGAGAACGACCACGGCCCATACGAGAACGTTTCCGTCATCTCGTCAAAGGGCCGATTCTGGGGTCTTCTTGACCTCAAAACCGGCACGTGGATGGATGAGCTGCTCGATAAAAAGGACAACTGGGTCATCTCGTGGGACGCCGTGGGCGCGCCAGGCAACGTTCCACTACTCAACGAAACGCTGACGGTCAAGTACTGCCTCTCGGAGCCCATTGTCGGTACCTGTAGGGTGCGCGTCAACAACGACTTGTTTCTGGCGGTTTGCATCGTTGCGCTGTTCAAGAGCTGTCTTTGCGTCATTGTGATAGGCTATTTGTGGAAGAGAAAACCGCTGGCTATTATCGGGGATGCTGTCGACTCCTTCATCCGCCTGCCCGATGCCACTACCAGAGGCATGTGCACGCTCGGGTGGCGGGACTTCTCGAGGAGGAGCCGCTGGAGACCCCGCAAGCGACCGGAGGAGTACGGCTGGCTCGCCGAGCCACGAAGGTGGGAGAAAAAGACGCAGCGCTGGGGCGGCTCGGTCCATCTCTCGGACTGGATCAAGACATATTCGATTGGCGTTGTGGGTTTAACTCTGGGCTTCCTGGCGTTGAAATCTTTCGTCAGCGAAGTGTAAGAAGCCTGTATCCGTCCTGTCTTGACAATTGCTTTGCTAACGTGGATATGACAGTGGGGGATGGAAGCGCGCCTACACATGGGGAACTTTCGGGCAGGATCCCGAGAACCCCGTCTTCGCAATGAAGTACCCGTCCAAAGCCCTCGAGAACTTCGTGGGGAGCTTGGCCATAAACCCGATCGGCTCATCCCTCCTGTCCAACCTCCCCCAGCTCGGGCTATCCATCACCTGCCTCCTCCTGAACGTCATCTACACCCGCATGTTTATGGCCAGGGAATGGACGTCCTACAGCCTGAACCTCAAATCACTTCGCGTCAGCGTGCCCAAAGGCCAGCAGCAGTCTGAACCGTTCCTGGAGATCCCCCTGCCATATGCTATTGTCATGCAAGCAGTGGGTCTGTTGGTTCACTGGCTGTGTGCCAACTCCGTATACGCCATCATTATAGAACGTGAGTTCTTTTGAAGCTTCCATTGGTGAAATCCACTGACGCAGTAAAGCACTGGAGGCCATTCCGCCAGATCAGATCGTGTCGAGCAGTTACGGACAAGTCACCATGTACATCAACATCCTTCTATCTTTCAAAGCCGCCATCGCGACTATGGTCGTCCTCTGCGCCATACTGCTCGTCCCAGTCATCGCCTCACGATTTCGTCTCTCAGGAGAAACAGTAATGGTCGGGAGCTGCTCGGCTGCTATCTCGGCTGCCTGTCACGTTCTCCGGCCGAATCGCGAGCTATCTACAGTGACTCCCCCCGAGCCGCTCTCGTCGTGGGGACTCTCAGATTCTGATTCACTTCCCCCGAATCAAATTGACCAAAAGGGCGGTCACGTTCATTTATCGGAATACGACGATGGCGATTGGCGAAATGACCTGGCTGAGAGTAGGTTGATGTGGGGGGCAGTTTCTGGGAAGGGCTTGTCGGCGACGGAGTACAGTGACTCGACCGATGGTACCGTTTTGCATTTGGCATTCGGTACGGCAGATAATGATGTGAAAGGTGTCACAGTGGGAGCAACTTATGCTGGCATTAGGGACTGGGACAACTAAAGGTCGCCGGAAAGAAAATGGGCATTTGGCGTGGCGGTAACCGTCAATTTTCTCGAAAACATGCTGCCAGATAGTCAAACGCTATGATGTGTGATTCTTTGAATCTGAAGGTTTACATAGGAAAAAGAGACAAAGAAAAGATACGACAGTAACATTGACAAAAAATGAACGTCATGTCTCCCGGTTTAGAGCTGCAGGGGTCCGTGGACGTGCAGTCTATTGGCCTATCAATCCCGGAGTCAGCAGGATATTCTGCATAATATACCTATACTTATCAAACCATGATCTCGTGTTCATCTGATTGCTTTAACAAGTTTACACTAAAGTGGCTTTCTCGATATACGATCCCCTCACATTAAGCATCGTGATGAAGTTAACTGTGGAGCCGTCATCACCCTCGCTCTATGGGCCGCTTGCGGCTCCGTCGAAATCATCTCACCAAGCGGGGCTTTAGCCCCGTCACTCCCCTTGGTGTAGTTGGTTCATCACGTTCGACTGTAATGGTTACGTTGTCATCGAAAGGTCTCTAGTTCGATTCTGGAAGGGGAGAACCAATTGTTTTTTGCAGTCTTCTTGGTTGAAGTTGACCTGGCCTTAAGAGTCATCATCGGGTTATTTTGTGCCCGTGAGCATACTGTGCACTAATGCCTTTACTTTTTCCCTTACATTCTTGCCTATCAACATTTGACTTTTGAACAACTATCAACTAAGAACAATCTTTTTCATGAAGCTCACAATCTCATTCTCTTCCCAATCAAACGAGTCAAAAAACGGAGCTACTCTCATTTGCTCCTCAATTTCCTCGTTGTCAGGGATTCTCTGTTTCTCGTACGTCGCTGGTCCACCCTCAATCGAGTGCGGAATAAAGACTGACGTGTTTGTCGTAATCGGTGTCCGGTCTTCACGGATTCCCATACCTGCGGGATCGCCGTCGATGAACCACAATCCTATCACAGGGTAGTATGTGTTTCCATCCGCGGCCCTGAACTCTGGAAGTAGAGCAAGCTCCTGCACAACATACCCTTCAGCGCCGTAATCTCCCGTAGATGCATCCTGTATAACTTTGCCATCACGTTGCAAAACAACATCGGCACCCTCTCGCGCAAAGATTGGCTTGCGTGCAAAACTCGTCATTGAAGAGGGTGCCTCATTGACATACGTCGGGAGAAGCCACTTCCCCCTCGGGTCGTCTTTGAACAGTCTCCACAGGATGGCGAAGAGTGACTTGTTGCTCCACAACATTTTGTACGGCGGCTCAATCCAAATGGTTCCTCCAACATAGTTTCCTGCTTCGTCATGCAAGCCAATCTTCTCCATATCCCGGAAGCAAGGCCGTGCAAATTCCTCCTGCACCATAAACTCCCACGGGTAGAGCTCAAAGACGACGTCTAGATGGTCGCCGTTTGCATCGTAAAATCGTCCATCATTCTTCGAGATAGAGATCTCTTCAACTGTAAGTGCCTTCGTCTGCCAGCCCGCCTGCTGGCAAGTATCCATCAAGAACATCACATTAAAGGCATCCTCCCCCGAACATTCTCCTTCGCCTACAGCGAAATGAACCACAGGCTTGTGTCCCAACGTCTGCTGGATATGGGTGAGATTGCGTTGCCAAGCCGTGATAAGCTTTTCAGTGATGCTGTTGTATTGATCGCTTCCATTTCCAGTCTGTTCCAGCCATAGCCATTGGATTGAACCAGCTTCGAGTAACGAGGTAGGAGTGTCCGCGTTAAACTCGTAGAACTTAGGCTGTCGCAATCGAGGGTTCGGATGGTTTAAGCCACCAAAGCGCACATCGAAGCGTCCATAAATACTGCCCCATGCAGGCTCTCGGTTCCACGACTTTTTAATCTCGCTCAAGGCAAAAGCGGGCACCGCCATGTCTTTGGTGATGATATCTTGGTTTTCTGTCAGATAGTCTGCTGCCTCGCAGCACATCGCAAAAACGTCTTTGGCGGCGCCTTCGAGAAGGTGTATCTCTTCTTTGGTAAACGAGTAGTACCGGTTGTCCGGCCAATATGGCTCCGAGGCACCGGGAGCTACAAGGTCTGCGAAAACTAGACCCTGGCTTTGGACTAGGCGCGTATGGTTCGGCCGTTTCTGAACTGGTATACGACGCATTCTGTTGAGCAGTGTCTGGCTGAAAGCGTTATGGAATGCTTCGAAGGTCACCTTACCGAGCGAAAGATTGGGCCAAAAGGAGTCTCATTCTTATACGGGGCATGGGCTTCGATCCCCTGCGAAGTTTTAGTGAAATCAAGAATGGGGCAGATACATACAGACCGGCGGAAAAGATTTCACATTGTGCAGTTCCTTAGTTGCTAGTTGCAGACCCCCCTTATACGAAATCCTCGGTAAGGTTCGGCTTCAATCCGACAACCGACGGAAACTTTGATACTGTCGCACGATTTGGCGACTTTTGGCTAAATTTCCATAGAGTTGAAGGCTAAAGATATTCCCTACGGTTTCATGCTCCCTTAAGTCCACAGGGGCGTTTCGTAGAAGCAGCTGTGCTAGGGCATACGCGACCGTGACACGATCTATCACCAAGTGCGTCTAAGGTGGCCACCTATGTTCGGAAGCTCTGCGTTTAGGACTTCCCCTCCTCCAAGGTTCATGGTGGTTGATTGCCTTCCGAATTAACGATAGAGCGGCAAACTGCGAAGAAGAAAAGTTAGAAGGGAAGAAAGATTCATAACGATAGAATTGGGTTTGGGGGTTCGCTCTGTCGGACCGAGTTGTCGGGCCAGGGCATCACAACACCAAAGTTTCCGAGGATAGTCGTGATGATGCGGACATCTCTATGTAGAAAACTTTTAGAAAGTTCCATCGCCGAAGTCAATTCCCGACATTACGAACAAGACGCAACTGTGCTTTATTCGAGACCTAAGCTATGACAGAAAAGCCTTTGTGTCCTCCAAGTCTTTATCTGACTGTCATAGAAGTACGAAGCACTCGTACCCTTTTCTAACGAGGTTCTTCCCTGGCGAAATTGACGAGCAGATTGTTTCACCATCAACCCGGCAATGGAAGATGAATAGCTTCTTCCTTTCTTTTCATTCAATCTTCTATATAAAGCTCTGCCGAATGGTATGAAACGACGATCTTCGTCCGTTCTAAAAGTCCGTCCTAGCTTGCCGTCTCAAGCAATCAAAGCCTGTTATTTTACTACCATCATCTCAACTAAGAAAGAGCTTGGCCACACAAACATGAAGTCTACTCACCTCTCCCTTTCGGGCCTCCAGCAGCTCGCAGTCGCCGCCTTCTTTGCGGCTGCTGCCGATGCTAGGCCTTACTGCGCCGACCAGCATGGCCAAGTTGTGGCCCTTTCCAATTGCGATACTGCTACTACCCAAGCAACGGAGAAATTCGTCCTCATCGAGCATGATGGCGGAGACCTTCAAAACGGTGACAGTATCATGGACGATAAGGCTGGCGGATCTCCTATGGTCGCCCGGGATGTCGAGGGCCCTGATCCTGACCTGGTCAGCGGCGGCTTCGGACGAAGGTCTCCTCAGCGTCAGTGCGACCCGTCTGTCGGTCATTGCGTCGTAGGTGGTGTTCGAATTGGGTCAGGCAGCTTCGGCGGCGGAAGCAACGGCGGTTAAAATCTGTCAACTCTTTAGTTGTGTAGAGACTGAGACCTTCATCAACGTCCATTAGCATGAATTCAGTCTCGGTGGGGATAGAGTGCATACTTGTTGATTGCCATTTCTAGCTAAGTAGATTCAACAAGACGTTATCTAAACTTAACCCTCATACAGCCAGCCAGAAGTCGTGAGTTAAACAGGGTTAACCTCCGCCGCAACAAACACTCTTATGCTACTGAAGTTTCGCGATTGTTTAGTGCGATGGGGTGCGTTATTCGGCTTAGAATCCCACCAGTAAAATGACAACACTTAGCGCGCAAGTAAGTAGAGGGATGTTGTACAACGGTTGGTTCGCCAGACTCTTCTGTGCCCCTTTTGAAACATCCGCAACACCACCAGACAAGATACTCCCTTGTAGCTCTAGAATGCGCTGAGCTGCCCTTTCCGCAACAGTCATGATCGGTCCAGACGGATTGGTTGTGACCATTCCAGGCATAATCGAAGCATCGACGATGAACAGATTTTCTGTACCATAGACACGCGTGTGAGTGTCGACGACGGACGTGCCACCTTCAAGACCGCTGTCGATTCCCATCTTTGCGGTACCGAGATAATGAAGCCCACGACGTCTCTGGAGATTGACCGGCATCTGTAGATTATTAGCATCATGTACAGAAGGCCGAGCCAAACGCCTGTGATCGTACCTCTTCTATGTTTTGTTCCACAGTCATATTTGCGGGCGGATGTGTGAGCACGATGTCAGGATTAGTTGACAGGGCCTTCATCAGATTTTTGATACCAGCAATGATGGCCGCTTTATCCTCCTTTGTTTGCTGGTATGCAAGAGTAGAAATTGACATCGTGAGATTTGGGTTAATCGTCACGGCACCGACAGATGTGCCGCCTCTGCCAAGGAACTGCGAGATTGTCATCGAGTTCTTGGTCGCTCCGGCCACTCGCGCTGTATACTGAAACTGGCGTGGTCCATCCGGTCCATCAACGACTTCCCACATGATAGGACCATCATTCGGCGCCGTCATGGTAAGCATCCCACTCCGATTCTTCAAGTAGGCATCCACATCAGCTTGGATTGGACTCTCCCATGCACCAATCTGAAAGTCATAATAGTTGACGTCTTTGTGAGTGATCTGCAAGTCAGTCACAGTGTGGTCGTGAAGATTTCGACCTACTGGTAGCTTGATCCACTGGGGTTCTTCGATGAAGTCGGGGCCATCGGTGCTCTGCTGGACAATGCGGAGCTGATCCTCTGGTCCGATGCCGCTTCGGAACAGCAGCTTCGGTGTGCCATAGTAGCCGCCTGAGATCACCACTCGGCCAGTTGACTCCGTTACGTTCACGATGCCGCATCGGCCTCCGTCACCACGAGACTCGATCTCAACCCCTGTGATCCGACCTCGATCGCGGATGACACGGCGGGCCATCGTGTTCGTCCACATTTTGAAGTTAGGTCTCGAGTTTGCCGTGACTAGGTAGGTTGCCAACGGACCATGTCGTTCCCCGTTCTGATACATGAAGTTTGCAAAAGCAAATGTTTGGCTTTTCGCGTTGGGGTTGTCTGCCGGGTTGACATGATTCCATCCCCCGGCTTTCAAGGCGCGCGACAGTACATTATAGCCCTCCGGAGCATAGAGAACACCGTCGGTTGAGGGCCTGTCAGTTGCGGGTATTCTCTTGAAAAGCGCATCCGCGGCAACCTTCATATCTGCTGCCTTCCAACCCTCTGGATAATTTTGATCCCAGTCAATGTCAGGAGACTTCCACCAGAGACCCGCATTGACGGCCATTCCTCCGCCAAGGACGCAGCCAGATGTGTTCTCGTTGATGTCGTCACACGTGACATTCTTCCCGTCTACCCAGATTCTTTGACACAGACCTGGGACGTCGAATCTGGTGAGATTGGTGCCTTTAAGCCATTCCGGTCGCCAGTTGTCGAAAGAAAGTTGATCTTTGAGTAAAGTCTCCTTGGGAAACCATCGACCAGATGAAATAGGTCCCCTTTCAATCATGAGGACCTTATGACCTGCCTCGGAAAGCCTGTCTGCCATAGGCATGCCACCGGCGCCTGCTCCGACGACGATGTAATCATATCGTTCTGAATCGATGGTATCCTTGGAAGTGCACTCGGCCGTCGAAATTTTAAGGCCAAGAGCTAAGTAGTCAGTAATACCTTCAACTCGTCAGTAGGGCATGAACCCACTAAGCAGGGTCAGCAGAGCATATTTAAGTATCCGCATGATGTCCACTGAACAGGTCTGATGTCGATGGCCTATGGTTTGTTGGGGCGAAGGCTGTCGGGAGATATTTGCAATTATGTGGGGAAATGGCTAGCAAGAGAATGTATCTTTTTGGGCACATTTGAGACATTTTTGGGACCATGTTCGACGGGCCTCCGTGGGATGCGTGGAATGTGACATTTCCTTCCGCGCCGGCGGGATAAGCCATTCAACTGGCCTCTTTCTCAGTTAAAGTTTTACGGGAGACCGATGTTGCATCGCCAAGCAAAGGGACGGCGTCTTTCAAACAAGGTCCTGGGTCTTATGGAATCTTTTGGCACAGAGCTTCAACCTTGACCACTCAACACTTCAATCAAACTCGAATTGTGTCTATCAATCTGTGAGTAAGATAAGCATAGGGTTGCAGGACTCCTTTTGTCCAAGGAAAAGTTGATCATACGGTCCAGCACTAAGAGGTCTCTGGAGATAACGTTAGCAGTGGTGCCTGACGCGTGGTTTTCGTTGGTTGGTTGATTCTCGATCTGTCAAAGGAGTTTAAACCGCCAACTGACAGTTTTAGACTCCTACTAAGCGGCTATAAGCGCCTGTCATACATCATTCAATCGTCTACGCAAGTGCTCTATCATCACTCAGGCGTCAATACATGACGAAAGGGAGGTTTTGTGAGGCAAAGAGGAACGATCATGTGGCAAGTCTTATTCGGGTACATGCACATTGAAAGAGTTATTGAAAAGGAAAAGGTCATGATGCAGGTGTTTTTTGCCCCCTCTTCAGCCTCCCTTACTAGCCATAATATACGTCGAAGTTTCAATCAATTTACGTCCAAGGAAATATGAGAACAGCGAGTATGTTGAGATGTTCTTGATGGATTTTATGTACTCGTAACTCAGATCGGTTCGGCCCGCCCGGATGCAAGAATTGCCATAGTAATATGCCGTGCTGGGGGTGAAACCAATCATCCCACCGGTAAACGCATTTTATTCGAGTCCCTCGAGTACTGGGGCCAATAACCCGAGGAGCTCGTACATTATAGTTCACAACTGTAGATGTGTGAAACTTTCCCCGTGTCAAGGGCCTCGGACGGTCGGTCATCGAGCTCCTCGATCTGGCTCGAATCCCAATAAATCATTGGGGTCCCCATACCAGATTGAGCACTAGCAGGTATCGCCGCGTGTTATTTCTTAATTCAACTACAATCAAAGATGTTGGATACTTCGGCCACTTTAACCCAAGTCACGCCGATTCCAGCGAGCATAACACGCGAGAAAGCTCTCGCACTTGTTCAAGATGCGGAACATCACATACGGTCCGACTTTGATATGAAGTCTTTTTCACCTTGCGATCTTCAAATTCCGGTCAAACTCCCCAGCGACATACACCCAACCGAGGCGACGAAGGCGTACATGGTGACCGACAGCGTACCGGCATTATTTGGTCACCGCGACGCTGTAAGCTACAATGAGTACACTCGCACGAATGACGGCATATTCGTTCACACCGTCGCTCCCATGGGCGTGGTGTTGGACACGCGATGGCGGGTTCGAGAAGCACAGGATGGAGGGTTGGAGATGATCGCTGTTGTGGAGATTAGGTGTTCTAAGCTGATGGTTGGTATGGTGAAAAAGACTTGTGCGAAGAATTCGAAGCCCTTCCATGAGAGGTTGCTTAGTGGACATGGGGCATACAATTGACATCCGACTTGTGTTGGGAAAGGCAAGACATGAAAGCTTCAGTTGGGTCATTTGCCACAATACTGATGATCAAGCCCGTGGTCTTGAATTCTTATAAACAGTCGTATTCGTCGTGGACCATGATCCCAAAGCATTACCATGTTGGTGAAACACATAGCTCTGCTCTGTACACCTGTTGTGATCGGTCAGTCACGCCTCAAATCCAGGAATCGGGGCACCAAGAGAGGATGCGTTTTAGTAGTCAAAAAATCAATTTCTATTCATGTGTACAGTCATGGTCTAGTCTTTTGCTCCACGCCTTCCAGCTCGTGTCCAACTTTGTCTCAACACACCTAATCATATCGAAACTCAGGTCCATGCCATGCACGATGAAGTCGAGCGCGGATCCCGTGCGCACTTCGTGGACGATCACGCTGTCCAATAATCTGCAAGATATCCAATCCATTGTTTTGAGATTCCGGGTGATGATGAGATGGGCCCGGGAAGTTCTCCTCAACTTCGTGGGCTGATAGATCCTGAGGAAGGGTTTGAGCACGGCGAGCTGGGGAAGACTGGAATCTAACCCTAGCTGGCTCGGGTGATGGTTCTCGCACGTATAATTGAGTCTGGGTCAGGTTGCGGCGCGGCGGGCTGTACTGCGGTGGAGGCTGAGAGATGCGCTGCGAAGTTGCTGTACTATGATAAGCGGGAGGGGGAGATGGCAGCCGGTTGACATGTCGAGCGAGTGTTTGTCGGGGTGGAGATATCTCTGCGGGAAATCTGAGAGACCGCCTATGAGGCGGAGTCAGTGGTATGTCCTCCTCTTCATCGAGCTCATCTTCGTACTCGAAGTCGTCCGCGTAAGGATGAGAGTGTGGATGACATCTATGGCAAGACTGAACGTAGGTCTCATCGATGTGTCGGTAGAGTGTGCCTCTGCACCACTGCGCTGGGGTTCTGCATGATCTACTGAACTGTTGCACTCTCACGCACGGTTCGAAATTGTCGCGGTAGAGCATCGTCCTGCCGC